GAAAGCAGTGGGAGATGGCTTATAGTACCGGGTCCCTGCACCCTTGTGGCAGACCCAGAAGCAGCTCTGGGCCTCTGGCTTCAGCCTGGTCCAGCCCCACACATTGTGGCCATTTGGGGAATGAATCAGCAGATAGAAGATTCTCTGTCTTTCCTCTTTCTATAACTGCCTTTTAAATAAAAATAAACCAATAGTGACATGTAATGAAGAAACACAGTCTCAAATGTCTCAAATTCATGAAGGAGAAAATTCCAGGGTGGAATATGGAGTGATCTTGACTTTGACACCAAGGTGGTCCAGGAGTGTGCAAGGGGACAGAAGGGCAGAAGGTGGCCTTCAGCTGGCTTAGAGATAAAGCATGTTGAAAACCAGGCGCCACAGTGTGATAGAACTCTGTTTCTTCATTTCTTTACCACTTCTGCATTTTTCCTTACCCTACTTTGTTCTAGCTAAGAGTCTCATTTAAGGACAAAGGAGGTGATGTCATAGCAACCAGTAGCAGGTGGTTCAGTGGCGAGGCTGGACATACAACATATAAGGAATGATGGCTCTTTGTTCACCTGAACACAGTTGAAAGTGTTGGCAAACTCTCAAGGTTACAAGACCCTATCATCTCACATTTTCTCAGGATTTTAGTTTCCCATTTAAACAACAGGAGAGTTTGTATGTTGTATGTTAGTTGCGCTCTCTAGTGCTAGCAGTGTCAGGTTGAGTTATGTATGTGTGAGCTCACACGCATGCACACCTTGTGCACTGAAAAGACTATCAAGAGAGTGAAAAGATAGTCTGTAGAATGGGAGGAAATATTGCAAACACCTAGTTGATAAGGGCCAAGTACTAAGAACACTGTCTATAAAGGATGATGGTGAAGATGCCTGCATCCAACATCAGAGTGCTAGGGCTCAGTACTCACCTCTGGCTGCTCACTTTCCTTTCCCACTAACACAAACCCCGGGAGGCAGCAAATAATAAGGGCCGCAGCAATGGGGTTCCTGTCACCCACGTGGGAAAGCTTAGTGCTGGCCACTGAGGCAACTGGGCGAGCGAACCAGGAGAGGGGAACGCTCTCTCCATTGCCCTCTCAAATTGGTTACTTGTTTTCTTTAAAAAGCCTTTTAAAATAACTTACAAACCAGCAACAGAAAAGCAACCCAACGTAAAAACTGGCAAAGGACTTGAACGAACGTTTCTTTTAAGAAGAAATACAAATGCCCCAACCATGTAAAAAACTCCTCCTCATCATTAAGGAAATGTAAATCAAACCAGTAATTAAATGCCTTTTCAGAAGCATTAGGATGGTTAATTTAAACCAAATAGCACTATGGGTGAATATGTGAAGTTAAAACTGTCTTATGTTCTTGACCTGAAAATAGAATGATGTCACAACTATAGAAAATAGTTTGCTGATTCTTCAAAAGGCTAAATGGGGGCCTGGCCTGATGGCTCAGTAGTTAAATCCTCACTTTGCCACTACCAAAATCCCATATGGGTGCAAGTTCGTGTCCCAGATGCTCCACTTTCCCATCCAGCTATCTGCTTTTGGCCTGGGAAAGCAGTAGAGGATGGTCCAGACCCTTGGGACCCTGTACCTGCATGGGAGACCCGGAAGAAGCTCTTGGCTCCTGGCTTTGAATTGCCTCAGCTCCGACAGTAGCGGCCATGTGGGGAGTGAAACAGAGGATGGAAGACCTTTCTGCCTCTCCTTTTCTCTAATCTGCCTTTCCAAAAAAAAAAAAAAAAAAAAATTTTTAATGAAAAAAACTGAAAAAAGAGGTACTTAAATGAAGAATTATACACAACTATTCATAACATAGCTTTTATAGTTGCTTAAAGTTGAAACAACCTAAATATCTTTTAACTGGTAAATAGATAAACAGAATGTGGCATAATGGCAGTTGTCAAAAATATGAATGAAATACAAACACATAGTACAATATGGATGAAACTTGAAAACATTATGATAAGTGAAATAAGACAGATACATTCTAGGATTCCATGTATGTGAAATACTTAAAGAGATAGAGAAACAGAAAGCAATTTAAGGCTTATCCTGTGGGTTGGGAAAGGAAATAGTGGGATATCTGGCCTAAGCTCACAACTTTAGCTTGCCACTAATATAGACCCTGGTGGACAGCAGTAATGGCTCAAGTAATTGGGTTTCTACCACATGCCTGGGAGACCTGGATTGAGTGCTCGGATTCTGACTTCAGCCCCGGCCCAATTCTAGCCATTGCAGTCATTTGGGGAATGAATTGGCAGGTAAGAGTATTCCTTCTCTCACCTACCCCACTCCTTCTGCCTCTTGAGTTAAAACAAATGTGTGCGGGGCGATGGGGAGGCAGGAAAGATCTATTTCAAATTCCAGCGATCTTCTCCTTGAGTTGCAGACATGCTAGGAGATGCCATGAGAAAGTTCTTTCGACAAACCAATACATGTTTTAACATCTCCTTTGCCAGAGGAGGGAAGATTCTTCCATTCTCATTAAACTGTCTTCGTGAAATGTACACAGCATTTCCTCTTTGTCATGTGATGCTCAGTTTTACTTCATGTGTGGGCAAAATGACTGAAGTCTACTTAAATGAGCGAGTAGTTAGGAACTGACATACCTTGATCCAAATCGAAGTGGGAGGTGTATTCTTATTTATCCCATACCAGATTCTTGAAACTTGTTATGAGATCTCCAGTCTTCTGGGCTGCCTAAGGGGAAATGATCTGACAGTCCACTGACCCTAGGCCCACAGGATTATGTGGTAAGAGCAAGCAAGAATTGACCTCAGGTGCTCCTTTGAGACTGACTGATCATTGGTCTTTTTCTCCCACTGTGTTTCCTGTCAGGCAGGTCATCCCTCCTCCTTCTACCTCCCATCCCACCACAACTGAACCAAAATTTTACCTTTAGATCCCATTTGGAAGACATTGTTTACAAAGTCTTGCATTAAAATATACATCTGCCAATGGAAGAAGAGGGCAAATGTTCTCAGTGTAACAATTGGTTACCATAGACAGGAGGGAAGGTACAGGTAAGGATCTCTCCATTCACAGATGGCAGTGTGCCAAGGGAATAAGGTCAGATGGTGACGTCCTGCCAGCCAGGCAGTACAGTCTCAACTTCAATCAGGATGGGCAGTTGGTCACGGACAGGATGGAAGAGCTCCAAGCAGGCTTCTTATCTCCTTGTGCACTCGAATCCCATGTTGTCAATTTCCCACTTTTCTCTGGGACCTTCTTCCTTGCCTGGCTGATGTGTGTGCCTGGCGCCAGCACATCTCCTGCAAGACAGGCCCTCGGATGATTGCACTGCTGGAGTGGCCACTTCCCCATAGAAGCACAGGTAAGGCTACATTCCAACCATCCCAGCTCTCAGAACCTGGCAGGGAGGTCACAATGCAGCTCCACTGTTACGCAACCTGGTGTCTCTCAGGCCTTGCTTTCTGGTTTTCCTTTGTCATTTTTTCTCTTCCCCTACTTACAATGTGGAAGGAAAGAAGGAGTTGGGAGGCTCTCATCGCCTTCTCTGGAAGTCCAGTTTTTCTCCATTAAGTGGAAAGGGACAACTCATAATCAGGTAATAAGTAATGAAAAGGCATAAACAACTCAAGAGTTTCTTACTGCCCTTTCTGCCCCCACACACACTTGCTATGCTTATAGCCTTTCTTAGACTACAGATAAGTGTTTCTTCCAGTGCCAGGTTCCAGATGCCAGCTACTGCCAGCTGCCTCAATGCTCTGAAGGCAATTCTGATTTTGAGCTAATAAATTTTTTTACTGGGTTCACTTGGCTCCTTTGAGTTTGCATGGGAATAAGATTTGGCCTCATCTCTGAGGTATTGTTCCCTCAAGCTTTGCAGTACATGCAAAAGAATGCAAATTCTGAACTTCATTTGCTGTCACCTATAAAGTGTCAAATTCAGTCTCCTTGAGTTCTGGAACTAGAATTTAGAAGGGGGAAATAAAAGAAATTTGAGTGTTTTCATAGAGAAGCAGACATGGGATTTTAATCCATGAAGTTGGACAAGTCTGTTTCGCTATGGGAGCTTCCATTTTAGCTTCTGCAAAATTCTGGTTCATGACATTGATTGGATTACATTGAAGCAGTTGTGCAAACACCTGAGCCCAGTGTCTGACCTAGCTTTGAGTTCACCCTCATTAGCCTCACTGAGGCCTAAATGTTGTGAGGCTTCAACAAAGGTGCGTCCCTGGGACCTATCCCAAAGCTACTCCATCTTATCACAACAGTTTGAAGTTGAACTTGATTGAAAACTGTAAGTTGGATTGGGGAATGACTTGGTTACTGAAGTTCTTGAGATCTTTTCCTGTTTAAACTCCAGCCCTTTCTGGGTCTCTGGCTAATGTCTTGCCCAATAGCACCCGAGAGGAAAAGACAGTGAAATGGAACATTGTAACGCCATGGATCTTTGCATACTGTTGGCTCTCGAACAAAAGAAAGCAACGAGCAAGGCATGTCTGGCTCACAGGAAATGTCTGTGTGTAGAGTGATTGATTTCTAACATCTGTGACGTCACCCTCTCTAGAGGTCTGTTGTGTTTGGTTGCTCTAAGGGAAGCCCAGCCGGAATTTCCTGCCTCTGGGTCTGCCTGAGCAGGGGAAGCGCTCTGGCATATCCTCTCCTGGGCCCAGCTCAAGTTGGGTCGAGAGGGCCTTCTCCTTGGCTTTGTGGGCCAAAAACAAAGGGGCATTGCCTTCTCCAAATTGTCTGAGAAATGATTAACTTGTTTCCTTTGATCCTTTCCACTTTGGGTGAGGACGGTCCAGTAGCTGGGGTGGAGAATACGGCCCATTCTTTGTGACATTGGTAAGGTAAACAGTGGGAGAGACTGCTACTAGAAAGCTGAACTCTGGAAGGTTTGAAAGAGTGTGCGCGTGTGCGTGTGCGTGTGTGTGTGTGTGCACGCACGCGCATGGGTGTGCGTCTATAAACAGGGCTATTGAGAAAAAGAGTAGAACTGTTTTCTCTAACTTTCTCTTTCCATTTTTTTAAGGTCTGAATTTCCTGCTGCTGTGCACAAAGATGCTTTTCATCTTTAACTTCTTGTTTTCCCCACTTCCAACCCCGGCGCTGGTCTGCATACTGACGCTTGGAGTAGCCATGTTCCTGTGGCTGGTCTACAGACCCCAGCCAGTCTTACCTCTCATTGACCTGGAAAACCAGTCTGTAGGAATTGAGGTAATTTTCCAGTCTTCATTATACTTTGGAGTATAATGATTGAGTAGAGTATGGAAAAATAAACCTTTTATGTTGCCCATTCATAGATAAACTACAAACTTGAATTTCTATTATTAGCACATTGCCCTGTGTAAGAAAAATGACAGCTAGCTCATACAATGTCAGAAATTTAGGTAAGACGTATAAACTATAGCCTAAAGGCAAGAGCCTGTCTTTTTTGGGCAAATAGTTAACTAACAACAGTGTTCCCATTTTTGAAGAAATAAGTAAAAAGAAAAACACAAATTCAAGAAAATGGGATTGGGAACATAACATATGTACCATAATGCTTAAGGTATGTGCTATCTGGTTTTCTGTTTTAAATGTCTTTATTCATCAGGGTAAAATCAGGGTAGCAGAGAGGGGGAGAGACAGAAAAACAGGGAGATTTTCCATCCTCTGGTTCATTCCCCAGATAGCCAGAATGGCCAGTTCTGGGCCACATGGAAGTCAGGACTGAGAACTTCTTCCAGGTCAACCACATGGGTGGTAGGGACTATTGAGCCATCCTCCCTGTCTTTTCCTGGGCCATTAGCAGGAAGCTGGATTAGAAGGGAAGCAGCTGGAGCAGGAACCAGGGCCCATATGGGAAGTTAGCTATGCAGGTGATAGTTTTACTGGCAAGGCCATAAAGATGGTGTTAGCTAACCCGTTCCTTCCATAAAACATTTGCCAAGCCGGTATCTAGATGAACAAGTCAGTATTTGGGGAGTGAGTTGTTCTTTTTTTTTTTTCCCTGGAGATCCCCAATGTCTGAGAATGGTACAGAAATTATTTCCAGAGAAGATTCTAGTAGACTTGTTCAGATGCTTCTTTGGACACCCACACCCCTTGCTGAAGTATCTGGGTTAAAGTCCTGGCACTGCTCCTGATTCCAGCTTCATGCTAATGCACACCCCAGAAGGCATCAGGTGATGCCTCAAGTAGCTGGGTCCCTGCCAACCATGTGGGAGATCTGGACTGAATTCCAGGCTGCTGGCACTGGCCCAACCCAGTCGCTACTATTGGAGGCCTTTATGGAGTAAACCAGTAAATGAGTTCTGCTACTCTTCCTCTCTAATAAAAAATAGAAAAATTTAAAAAGAAGCTATTTCCTTGAGTTCAGTTCTAACTTGTAATTAATGTTTGTTCATCTTATAAGTGGTACAAATGAAACCAGGCTCATATATGCCTGAGCAATGGCGTGCTCTGGGAATGTCCTCTTTCTCTTTCCTTCCTTCTGCCTCCTAATTATTCTCATCTTCATCTTCCACCCTTTTCATGGAAAAAAGAAAAAGTATTTCTATTCATTGCAAACCTATCCTTTTAGTTACTTTCATCACCTTCTTCCATCTCTACAGGAATTTTATTCCAAGTGACCAACACCTTCCAGCCTATACTCTTTTTTGGCACCTTGCCACGCTCGGTCCCTGCATTAGCGTCTTCCCATCCTGTTGCTTCAGGCCACTGTGGTCTCTCACTCACTCACTTTCCCACTGGAGTTGTTTATGAGAAGTATGTGTGTTGATCTCCTCTCTTTTTTTTTAAAGATTTGTTTTTATTTTTATTGGAAAGTCAGATATACAGAAAGGAGAGACAGAGAAGAAGATCGTCCATCTATTGATTCATTCCCCAAGGGGCCACAATGGCACTGGAGCTGCCAGGAGCCTATTCCAGGTCTCCCAATGTGGGTGCAGAGTCCCAAGGCTTTGGGCCGTCCTTGGCTGCTTTCCCAGGCCACAAGCGTGGAGCTGGATGGGAATCGGGGCTGCCAGGATTAGAACTGGTGCCCATATGGGATTTGGCACGTGCAAGGCGAGGACTTTAGCCGCTAGGCTACTGTGCTGGGCCATTATCTCCTCTTTTCAACATTGACCCACTGAGACCTGACCTTCTGTAACTAGTATCTCTTCCACATTGTTCTAATCTCCCAAACCTACTTTCTATACTTAGTGACTCCTAATTCTTCCCCTCAGTTGACTGCATACCTCTTTCTTGAAACTTTCCCTATAGTTTTTCAATGATACAGCTTCCTAATTCCAAGGCATTCTGCCAATATCACTTAGCTTTTTTTTTTTTTCCTTCCCATCCTAGGGTTTCCTTTTCAGCATAGTTTGATTCTTCTATAGTCAGAAGTTGGCAAACATTCCATCAGATCTGGGTTTTATGGAGTATTGCAACTACCCAGTACTACTGTTAACTAGTGAAAACACCAGACGTTTCAAGTATGTAGATGAATGAGCATAATTATGTTTTAATGAAACTTCACTTGCAAAAGCAGGTGGTAGGTCATATTCAGCCCACAGATTGTAGGCTTTCAATTTTCTGCTTTAAATCCTCACAGTTAAAAGATGCTGCTTCTTCTATGAACACTACCTGAAGGCTATAATACCCAAATATTGGCTTACTAGTCTTATCTCACTGGTGTTCAAATACTTCCAATTCTCCATGTCTCTTTGTTGCCCATCTTTTCCCTTTATATTTGCACATCCTTTCCTGTTCTTTTGGTGAGACAAACCTCTTCTTACCCAGTAGCCTCAATGTCAGGGTCTGAATTAAGTTGAGCTCTTTCTGCATACTCACCTCTGTCTTTTTTAACTGAACAAGGACCTTTACTCTTGATACTTGGCCTTAAGGTGACATCTTGTGGAAATCTTCCCTGATGCTCTAGACAGTGAGATCTATTGTTATAGCCCTATGTGTTACTGTGCACTTTCACAGTCCTTACCTTGGCCAGTCACGTGCTTGTTTGACACCTCCTCTCTAGACTAACATTCATCAGTGTTGAACCATATCCATGGCCCCCATTGTAGTCCCAGAATCCATTCTAGAACCAGACCCTATAGTCCCCAGCTCACTGTTGTAGACAAGGCCCATGTTGCCCCTTCTATCCCACACACCTTCCTCCCTCATAGCTTACCAGATGTTGCAATGTTTTTTCTTGCCTCTGGGCTGTTCTTGTCTTTCCTTTATTCTGTCCAAATCATTTCTTTTTGGGAAAAATCTACTCATCTGCAAAGTCTTTATTGAAATGTCATTTCTTCTTCACATCTTTTCTGCTTTAAATGGAATTTATTTCAACTTTCGTTTGTTCCTCAAGTCGTATTTATTTTCAGTCTGGCATGTATGTCACAACATTATCTTTGCTTGGTGTTCCCTTCTCATCCTCCCACACTCCAAAAATTCTAGTTTGTGAGGTGCTCAAGGGTAAGCATTTGCCTTAACTCACATCTACAGTATTTGCACAGTGGTAGAACCCATGGTGTGTTTTCAATACATGTTCATACTTGATATGATTAAAAAGATAGCAAACTGTATCTACACACACACACACACTCACACATATGCCATGGAATATTACCAAAATTTAACCATGAAAATGTCTGGGTGATGGGATTTAAGATCAGATTTTTACATCTTTATATTTGTTTATGTTCAAAAGTTTCTGTGACATGAATGTACAACAGTGTTGAGATTTAAAATATTCACTGACTAGTAAAGAGAGCATTCCTGTGACTTCAGCATTTATGTTCTTTTTGATTCAATCTATCAAGGTTCTGGAAAAAGTGGGGCTTAAACTTGATCTTACGTTTTAGGGAGGAGCGCGCAAAGGGGTTATCCAGAAGAGCAATGACCTCATGCTTTACTACTACTCAGATGCCAGGACAGTGTATGAGACTTTCCAAAGAGGACTTGCTGTGTCTGGTAAGCCTACAAGTCTGGCCTTGCCTGTAGGGGGACTGAAGTGGGGTCTGTTGCACACATCTTTCCCGTCTCGTTTCTGAAACCCCAGCTGGTGCCACGCAGGGCTCCGAGTAGAAGTGCAATGTACAAAGCAGACAGGTTACTAGCACACTGCTGGGAACAGTGTAGGACAGACTTGGATTTGAAACCCAATTCTGATTCTAGCTGCAAATGTTTATTCTAACCTCTTTGCCTCTGAGTCTGTTCCTCACTCACACACAGATTTTTTTTTTTTTTTTTTTTGCCAAATCCATGTTATAGTTACGGGTAGGACAATATTTTGACTAATTCACTAGCTCATTACATTTGTTCAGCAGCATGCTTTCTGTAAATGAAGTTTCCCGCACTGACGGCTGGAGAATCACAGCCAGGATTCTCCTGACTTACCTCGTCCATGCTCTGTCCTGCACTGCCACTCTCCTTATCACAGAAGCCAATGGCCCGCTTTGGACTTTCTTAGAAACATCACCACAGTGGACTTTGGAAGGCTGTAAGGAACAGATCAGGCCTTAACATCTACATCTTCTATCATCAAGCAGAATGCTAGGAAGGCAAATTTCCTTCCCAAATCCTCTTGTGTACAGTGTTTCCCGTACTGTTTTTCCTTTTAGGCAGCATTCTGTCCAGATACATGACTTCTTAATCCTTCCCTTCCCTTCAACCTCTTACCTATGATATGACAGCATTAGTGACCAAATCCTATCAAATGTTCGATCCTCTGTAATCTTAGGTTTAGTTCCTGTGACAGTCATTTTTGATGATGAGAAAAATTTAAGTTTGGGGGCACAAAAGTTGGAAAATGTTGGAGTTCCCATTAGTTTTCCTGTCTGACTAGCTTACTTTATAGAAGTAGTTACTCCCACAGACAATAACAGATTTACCATAAAGGAAAGTTCTATCTGAAGTCTCTACTGGGAACCCTACTTAGTATTTCTGGGCCTAAATAAGCATTTGTTTAGACTTCTGTGTAAATAGCAAGCAAAAAATCAAACCAAACATTAATTTCTTTAGTTCTCTGGCAACTAAAGATAATAAATGTCTAGAGTATAGAATTTCCTTTCAGATCTTCTATTTTCAGAAGTTTTCTTCATTGTGTGTTGTTACTGTGTCATTTCATATGTGCTATATGGTATTTAATGTTCATTTAGGAGATGTTTTTCAAGGCTAAATTAAGGCTAAAGCAAGAAGGTTTAAAATGGCCTCTCATTTCAGCAGGTCTGAGGAATCTGGCATGACCACTTGCATAGAAAAACAACCCTCTGGTCCTATCCAGGATTGAATATATCAGCCTTCATTCTTTTAATTCCTGGAAGGTAGCTCATCTCTGTTGAGAACCCCCTCAGGCATTGTTTAAAGTCTGTATCCTGCGACTCCACCTTCCTTTCACTGAGTCCGAATTCTAGATAGTGAAACCTAACAATCCCCAGGAAGTTTGGTATTTTTAACGAAACTTGCTTCCGGGGATTCTGCATACCAGAGTTGGTCTCCACTTAGCCCAGTTTGACAGCCTTACCAAGAAGTTGTTAGTGCAGGGAAAGATCGTCTCAGTAGCCACACCTATACACAGAAGCAGGCCTCGCTGAGGGCTGGGCTGTTACCCCGTCGGGAGTTTGGCCAATAGACTGACGCTGCCCAGGACAGAGTTTCATGTGATCTGAAGTTGTTGACCCTTTGGGCTGATTCTTTGACTTGCTCCTTGGCCACAGATGTCCGTCAGCATTTTCACCTATGGCAAGGTGATAAGAAAATGCAATGTAGATTCTTTTACATTTATTAGCTCTGCCAGTTACAGAGTGAGCTCCAAGAAGCCATCCTACTCCTTCTTGCTACAATTGGTGAGAAGACCAAGTGACTTAAGATGCCTCACATGGACTAAGCATTGAAGAAGCAGTAGCCATGGGGTTTGTCATGCTTCGGAGAAAGTTATAGAAAGCCTGAGATAATTGCTTGGGTTGTGGCGCAGTGCATTCCACAGGAACAGTTAGTATCAACGTTTTCTATGGTCAGTCCCCTTGTTTATTTATATTTTTCTATCTGTTAAATCAGAGTGGCTATCTCTTTCCTGTTTTCCTTCCTTCTTCCTTGACACTTAACCTAAAAGGTTACTCATTTGCCTCTGGATTCCTAGTAACATTTTCTGAGTACTATCATTTGGCAAGAATTAAATTCGTCTCAGCAACCTGACTAGACCTCTGTGTAATGGGTCCTTCCCTTCTGCTCTTCTGTTGCAGAGCAACCTCACTCTGCCTTCTCCCTGTCACTTCCCAGACACTCAGATCTGTTCCTAAACTGAATGACACTCAACGAGTGACTATAACATTACATACATGTTCCCAAACTTGTTTTAAATATGACAGAGGGATTTAGTTGTAATGAAAAATTTATTTCTGTTGTCAGCTATAAGACACAAAGTGCGAAAATGTTAAAGGCAAATATATGTGCATGAGTGAATATAGATGAGGGCTCACACACATGTTAGTCTCTGTGAGTTTCTGTGTCTTAATAGACGTTCTCATATACATAGGGATTGTATATGAACAGTTATTCATATGGGTAGGAAAACTTCACCCACAAGCAAAAGTATCACTTCTTCAACTGTTAAAGAAACGTAGGTGAGTTATGACTGTTTAAGCCTGTAAAACTGCAATACATCTTTTTAATGACAGTGCTTACTGTCAGTGAGAATGTGATGCACCTTGGTTTGCTGTTGGTGCCAAGAGTCAATGAGGACAAATGCTCTGCTAAGCAGTGTGGTTGGAGATGTCCACGGTCTGATCATCCTGACTCTCTTCCTTTCCAACCCTCTAATCTGAAGGGTACTACTCTATGAAAATTTCCTAAATTTGCTATTATTAACTTGAAAATATGTATAATAGCAGTAGTTGCTGTGAAAGCTAGAGACAATGTAAATAGTCACAAGGAGATCCAATGGAGCTCTCTGTGGGTAGGCCACTGTAATCTCTCCAGAGAAGAAATAATAATAGCACAGGACTATTTACAGGAGGAACAGTGAACATCACCCTGCAAAACTATGGAAGGAAACTGGAAGGAAATATCTGGGCTAATAATGGCATTGTGTAGTGAGATTATTTCTATTTTTAATTTTTCCCATCATTTTATGAACATTTCTTTTATTGCAGGAAAGCTCGATGTGAGACAGTTCAGTACAGGCTATTTGTGTTGACTTGTGGGCTTTAGCTTGTTATGTTATATAGGCAAATGCATACTGCTGGCCTCTTCTGAATGCCCACATTTTCACAGATCTGACCCTGATCTGCCCTGTTTGGTAGCATTTCCTAAATGTTTCAAGGGCAGTTTATGACTCTCTGCCTTTGAGAACTGAGTACTTCCTTTAAACTTCCTGACAAATAAAAGAAGCTCTTATTCTTGCTGTGTTTGTCCTGTGTGTCTCTTCTCAATTCTCATTTACCTTCTCTAATCCAAAAGATTTGCAACTCGAGTTAACATTCTCCTAATGTTATATTTTTAGACAATGGTCCCTGCTTGGGATACAGAAAACCAAATCAGCCCTACAGATGGTTGTCCTATAAGCAGGTACGTTCAGCCAAAAGCTTCTTTTGCTCATGTGGTAGCCTGTGCCAATTTGATCTCTTTTGGGATATTGCAAAAAAAAAAAAAATATATATATATATATATATATATTTGGTTTCTCTTTTGTAGGTGTCGGATCGAGCCGAGTACCTGGGTTCCTTTCTGTTACACAGAGGACATACGCCATCACCAGACCAATATATTGGCATCTTTGCTCAGAATAGACCAGAGGTAAATATGCTGAAGCCAGTTCAAGGAAGTGAGTCACTTCTAATCTGGCATCTTGATGATAACTTATCAAAGATATTTAAACTTTTGATAGTGCATATTCTTCTGTTTGAAATAGTTCCAAACCTGAGCCTCCTGAATTTCTAGTTGAATGTGGAGTGCTCTAGGCTATGTATTTATATCTCCTTTTTCCCTCCATCCCATTGTTATCAGTTTAAGTAAATCTGACTCTTCTATGAAGAAAATAAGGAAGCTGGACCAAATAAGACCTTGAAAATATTGTGGAAAGTGAGTGTGTTTGTATTAGAATTTGTACATTTATTTGAACCAGTGAGCCACACAACCCATTGCTATTGAGTCTAGTCAAAGACATCTTTCCACAGTGAGTGGCAAGGAGATTTTAAACAGTTAAGACAATGATTGGAATTAAGCTATCTCCAAGTTTTAGTTAAGTCATCATGCCCAATATCTAAAGGGAAAATTTTTGTATCGTTGACATGTTCACCAGGGTTAACTGCTTAAGCAAGATTGCAGGATTAAACTACAAAATCTAAGAGGACATAGATCATATATTTAGTAATCTACATTGTCCACTTGGGGTTACACCGTGCCTCAAGGGTAGTACGAATCCTTCAATCTAGTTTAGGAACTTAAAATCCAACCTAGTATAATTAATTTGGTAGAGCTACCATAATAAAACATAGTCTCTGTGACTTACCATATCTTTATTTTCTCATAATTCTAGAGGTTGGAAGTCTAAGACTAGGGTGCCAGAAAGTTTGGTTTTCCCAAGACCACCCTCCTTGTCTTACCATCATTTTCCCATGTCCTCACATGCCCTCTGCTCTGTGTGTGGGCATCCTTATTCCTCTTCTGCTTGTTTATTTCATATGAAATGTGTGAAAACAGACAGACAGATCACCCATCTGCTTGACTCACTTCCTAAATCAGGCCCTGGTTTGGATCAGGTGGAAGTCAAGACTAGGAATGTAATCCAGGTCTTTCGCATGAGTGGTAGGGACTCTGCTGTTTACAGGGTCTGAACCAGCAGAAATCTGGAAGGAAGAGTTAAGCCTCATACTCATCCATTATCTGATATAAGCATCCCAAACAACAGCTTAACAGTGGAACGAAATACCAGTCCTTCTTTTTCTTACAAGGATACAAGTCAACTTCAATTGGGCTCTACTCTTATGACTTCTTTTAATTATAACTACCTTTTGAAGGCTCCATCTCAAGTTCAATTACATTGAAGTTTAGAGCCTCAACAAGAATTCGAGGTAGGGCAGAGGGGAGGAACACAACTCATTCAGCAACACTTAGGCTAACATTGATGTCCCCCCATTAGCAGATTCTGACCTACTTTCCCAAATCATGTTTCTCTTTGATTTACACAGTGGTATCACACCATCTCATTTTTGTTCCCTCACTGATTTTTGCTCTGAGTACTTTTGGTACCTACATTTCCACAGCAAATCCTAACATTTCTCTAAAGTTGTACCCAATTTCCATTGTGTTCTTCCAAACAGGCCATGTGGCCTGTCCTCACCTTACAGTGGTCTCTGTTTCCTTAATGCTTTCTGTACGGAGACATAGGGCTTCACAGATCACACTCCACCTTTGTATTCTAGTCTACCTTTGTATTCAGTTATCTCTGCTTAGCTTATCTTGCTTAACTTCACAGCAGTATCAGTGACAGTCCCTAAAGCCCAGTGACTTTTTTTTTTTAACCTAAAAGCGATCAAATAAGCATTTGTTGGCTAAGTGATAAAGTAATTGTCTCCAAAGTCATTGTCCGTTGCTGACTTGCACTTTTCTCTGCACAGTGGGTCATCTCCGAGTTGGCTTGCTACACATACTCCATGGTAGCCGTTCCTCTATATGATACATTGGGAGCAGATGCCATTGTATACATTGTCAACAAGGGTAAACTTTTACTATTGCATTGTAACCTTATTCTTTCCTAATGCTAAGTAATTTTCAATCTCTACCTTTTTCTTTTTGTTTCCATTTTTACCAGATATGAAATAATGTAGCCAGAAAATTCATAAGCCTTTCTGGTCCTATAGTCTCAAAGATATATATAAAAAACTTACAGGGAAGTTACAAAAACAAAACAAAACTACGAGACAAAGATATGCTTAAGTAAAAACTTCAGTGTAATCTACAAGGTGGTACAGTTGACAGTATAATATATAGACAAGCTCGCTTACTTTGAAAATAGAAGGAGGTTCTATTGACTAAATCCATGGAGAAGCTACAGATTTATTTCTTATCTTTGTCAATTCAAGTCAGTAGAGTCAACCATCATGTAACAGGGTCTATGGTGACTGCAAAGAAAAAAAAAATTGCTGCTGTTAGAGGAAAAATGTCTAAGTTCAGTGGGGGAAATAAAGGACCTTTAACCTGCAGAAGCTGTTTTTTGTTGGAGAATTGGTAAATTGAATTTATCCATTTGAACCACAGCGAGCATCAGAAGCTTTCACTCACCTGGTAACAGTTCCATTTGCCTCCTGCTTTCTCTTCTGTTCTCTCTTGAAACAAAACATGTTGCCAGAATCACACTCACAATTCATACACATTGTTTCAATGACTTTTCCTAAGCAGAAGGAATTTCATGATTCCTTTAGAAACTGTAAAATGTGTTGGCAGCCTACAAGAAAGCCATCTGCTTCTGTTTCAAGTAAACTCATTTACTCTCAGTAGCGCAGTGCATTTTTTTTACATGATCAGCCTGATTTATAGATGTGATTTCCTTTGAGGAATCCATTAACATTGGCACTTTCAAACATCTCCTTTCCTTGCAAGAAACGTGGCAGAGCAGGATGTGACCTGTGGTCTGTTTCCGTTCCCAGCTGATATTAACACTGTGATCTGCGATACACCCCAAAAGGCATCAGTCCTGCTAGGAAATGTGGAGAATGGCCTCACCCCGGGCCTGAAGATAATCATTCTTATGGACCCCTTTGATGAGGACCTGAAACAAAGAGGGGAGAAATGTGGAGTTGAGATCTTATCTATATTTGATGCTGAGGTATGGCTCTGAAACTTGACTTGCATTTTGCAGCATCAAGGCTGGTCCATCACCATGGGTAGCATCCAGAACCTTTACAGAACACGAGATTGTTGTTCTTTTAGGGTTGGCACACAAAGATGGATTAGACTCAAACCACAAGGCTTTCAGAATAATTCCTCCATGATAACTCAGAAACCCAGTGTCAGGGAAAGACAAAGTTCTTTGACCTGCTACATAGGTTTCTAAGTAAGGAATGTGTAAGTACAGAGGATATGGCTCCCGAAGCCAGGCTGCTTTGGTTCACAGTCCAGCTCCACATATGTGGGGTAATCTGGAACAGTTACTGCATGTCTCCCTTTCCCTATCTGAAAAAATGAGAATAAAAATAATTCCTACCTCGGAGTTGCCGTAAGAGTGAGATGAATTAATGCACTTAAATTGGTCATGGCAGTGATCGGCATGTGGCTGGCTCTGAAATGTTAGCCTTTTATACTATTCTAAGATTACTTGGTTTTGGTCCTGGATGGTGGAAGCTTTAGAAGATGGTGGAAATTGTGCACATTTGAAATCTGCCCTCAGTAGGATGGTTTTCTAAAGAAACCCTCTGCTCTTCTCTGGGGGCTCAAATCGTGCCTGAATACTGACTTTTGGGTCTGATCCAGGTTGGAACTGGATCATATTCCAATGGAGGTATTGTGAAAAAGAGAAGGGAGGGTTGCTCCTGTCATCAGTCTGTCCATCTCAATTAATCTCTTTCCTTCTTGGTTTTTCTGTTTATGTAGAATCTAGGCAGAGAGAACTTCAGAAAACCTGTGGTAAGTCTTCTGCCAGCATTTGAATCTTGTCAGAATCAACTGCCAAAGTTCATGAGAGACTAAGCCTTTGTGCTCCCCCTGCAGCCCCCTAAGCCAGAAGACCTGAGCATCATCTGTTTCACCAGTGGAACTACAGGTCAGTGCCCAGGAGGTTGTCCCCAAGAGGTCTGGTCAGCCAGAAACCTGGCTTGAGTACTTGACCACTGACGGTCTGGTGAACACACCCCAAAATGAGTCCTGCCCTAAGACTTTCAAATGTGGATTTACAAATAGAAAAATTTAAGCATAAGGAAATGCTCAAAAACTTTATTGGATATACTGGGATGTGTTAACATGCTATAGATTTTTTAAGAATCTTAAAGGTTACATTAGAAAGTCAACCCTCCATTCAGCCAATCCACCACTTTTTCAAAATGATACCACTAGAAAGGTTATCTTGATAGCTCAGTGATGCTTCACTACAGATAACTGTACCCCAACCTACATCTAGCCATTTACTAGAACAGTTACTCATCTCTAATATGGTCCATAATTATCTACAGTTACAGTCATCCAGTATGCCCAGTTTATAAGACGTAATAATATCATTAGGCAATGTTGCTATATCTGAATTCACAAAGGAACATAGTACAAAGGGGATTTTTGCTTTCGACTATCTCTGAGTCATGGCTAATCCCTGTGTGGCAGAAGGATGTTTATGACCCATTGAGTAACAGAAGCTGCCATGCCATTAGTCACAGGGCATGTGCCCTCTGCAAGAAAGACACAGTGACAGGAAATGGTCTTAGCTCTCCAGAAAAGAACTAAGTCAATCTAAGTTCTTCTAAGGCTGCTTTCCAGCTACTAACAGATCTTACTTTCCATCTCTTATTTCTTACAGGCGACCCTAAAGGAGCTATGATAACCCATCAAAATGTCGTTTCCAATGCTGCTGCCTTTCTCAAATGTATTGAGGTCAGTGGTCAACTTGAAAAAGAGGTCCCCATTAAAATTTGAATCTCTTATAAAGTTTTTAATCTTGAAGTTAGAGGAGTCTCAAAAGGGAAACAAGATTGAAGGCTTGAGTGTGATCTTGTTTGTTTTGCTATAAGTTCACCTATGCAGTTAGAAGCATATGAGAGGTTCTGGGGCAATCCTTGGAAGGGGTATTTAAATCTTCAATGGAAGAGAAAATTTGCATTGTTCCAATGTTGTCTTCTTTTTGTTCCCTCGTCTGTAGCATACTTTTCACCCCAACCCCAACGACGTGACTATATCCTATCTCCCCTTGGCTCATATGTTTGAGAGGATTGTACAGGTGAGTATCCAATGTTCCTGCAGCCATGGGGAGATGGGCTGCTGTCCCCATGTTTATTCCAAAGTCAGCCTTTATAACTCAGGGAATTGGCTTCTCGGAGTCCTAATTCTGGCATTACCCCTGGCTGCTATGACCCCTTCCTCTGCTGAGCCTGCCTGTGTCCAAGGAGCTAATACTTGGTCCTGCCTCATAAAGGTGGGGGAGCTCCATGGAATCACAGCCAAGAGGTTAGAGTCTACACCTGAGTCCAAACTGACTCACGAGATGCTGTGTCTTCTCTTACAATTTCTTTTGGTTAGCATTTTGAAAGGGAATGTAGGGTTATATAAAAATAATTTCCCCGTAAATGAGCGGGGATGGAACATTGGAGCCACTCCAGGCACGAAGTATCACAACAGGCATTTTCACATCACTCCTGAAATGGGCGACGTGGTGCTGTCACTTGGTGCTTCTGCTTGAGGAGTGCTGTCCAGCTGGGAGCCAGCTCCAGGCTTTTTCAGCTACTCTGAAGCTAATGTGAAAACAGAATACAGGACTGACCTTTCAGAAACACAAATGGTATCATTAAAAAGTCTTCTCTCCAATTCTCCCAAAGACTTCTTCAACCAGCTTCTGGTAGGTTGGTACATGAAATATCAAAATGAAAGATTCCGTATTTACTGATTTAGATATCAGTGCCTCCAATTCAAGCATTGATGTCTAATTAATAAAACTGATTTTTAATAATACAGCGTTGGTCCGTTATAATCTCTCATGGATTTTAGAATCAGCTTGTCGATTTATTTTTTGTTTTTAAAGATTGTTTAATTTGGAGAAGTAGAATTAGAAATAGAATGAATGAGAATAAGAGAAAGAATCTTCCATCTGCTGCTTCATGACTGCAATGGCCATGACTGGGCCAGGCCGAAGTCAAAAGCCCTGATCTCCATCTGGTTCTCACGTGTGCATTGCAGGAGCCCAACTACTCAGGCCATATTTCACGGTCTTCCTTGGCACATTAGCAGGAAGCTGGATGGAAAGTGGAGCGATGGAAACTCAAACTAGTGCCCATATAGGATGCTATCACTGGATGAGGTGGCTTAACACACTGTACCACAATGCCAGCCCCGGAAAAATTCATTCTAACAAAACTTAAAAAGTGAGCATTTATGAAATTGGGAAGGCCTGAGTTTAATGGATTGTTTTTCTTAGTGTTCCATCATGGTGTCTTACACAGGAGCATATCTTAGATTGTCAGAGAGAGATGTGCTAGGTAGAATTAGGGTGATGAACACAACCTGTCATACCTGTTCTGTCACCTCGACAGATATGTGTTTGCAGTCTCTCTCCATGGAGGCTCTGAGTTCTGACTTTGGGAGAGAGTCACCCCATCTCCTCATTTCTGGGCAAGGTGGGTAGCCCAGGAAGTGGTCTCTGCCTCTGAGCCCTCCTCTTTGCTTTTGCTTCTAGGCTGTCATATATTCCTGTGGAGCCAGAGTTGGGTTCTTCCAAGGAGACATCCGGCTGCTGCCTGATGACATGAAGGCGCTTAAGCCCACGGTGTTTCCCACAGTGCCTCGACTCCTTAACAGGATCTATGATAAGGTATTAACCTCACTTCCGCTGGTGCTGTCCTGAATCGGATGGGACTCTCTGAGCCTTGGGCTGGTCCTCAGAGGGTCTCTACTGTGAAGGAATCGGCTCCATTGCTGTCTACTGCTACTGCAAGATTCCATTTAAAGCTGCATTTATACAGCGTGGGAAACCATAAGGAAAACTCCCTCTCCTCTGGATAAGATTCCTGGGGAGGAGGAAGAGCTCACCTTGGAGCCTTGGGGAGTCCCTGACTTGTCAGCTGTTTTACTGGACAGCTGTGACTGATTTCCTGGCAGGTTCTAATCGCTGAGCTTTTGTTGAGATGCCAAGCTCCTGGTAAATATTTCCAATGCATACTCTGAGTGTAATATAGACACACTTACTGTCTCTAGTTTATGAGGAAACTTAGCCTTGAAGATTAAATAATCAACTCAGAGGGGCAGGGACCAGAATTGAATAGTAAAGGCAGCTTTTGCTGCCCTTGGTCACAAATCTGTGCTCATTAGGAATTCCAAAATGGTGATTTTTTAAAAAAATATTTATTCCTCTTGCAATTGTTGTGTCAGATTCACAGAGATGTTATAATTATTTGATTCCTCCCTCTTATTTATCAATGTCCAGAATAATGAATGGGCACTCCAATGGTCTTCACAAATAGCCAGCAAATTTTTCTCATTTTTTTTATGAACTCACAGTTTTCCTATTTGTGTATTTAATTCATTTTAGTTATTTGTGATGTTCAAATGTCCTTTCTTGGAAGTTGGGAGCACCAATAAATCTGCTTATGTGTTCTGTAAATATAATTAGTAACCTTAGATATGTTCTTTGTTTTTCTGGCACAAGATGGTCTAAGCTCATCATGTATGTTTCTCATCCATATCTTAAGTTGGTTAATAACGCTAAGTAGTCCTTAGTGCTGGGCATTTTTTAAAAAGTATTTATCTCTATTTGAAAAGCAGAGTTAGAAGCTTGGAGCAAAAAGGAATCAATTAACATGGCCATCCTTCACATGCTTTGCACCTTGCCCTCTGCCCGCTGCCCAAATTCTAACATTCTGTTTAATTCTTGGGACTCATCAGAGGCTAAGCTGGAGCCTCTGGGACAAGACAGTCAATGTTCTAGAACAGAAATGCTCTCTAAACATTGGAAGTCCTAATCCTAATAGGATTGTTAATCATTCAAACCACTCTTATTATATGCTACAATTATTAGATTTGATTGTTATGATTTTTGTTCATGTTATTGGGCTTTTTCTCATTTTTGAGAGACAGTACCTCATACTCAGATAATAAATTATATTACATTGTTTAGGTTTTTTTGTTTTAATGAAGGACTTTGTTAGCATGAGTTTCCAATTCTCCTTGTCAGTGACTTGTTAAGGGAAAGGTAGAGATGGTGAGATGCTGGCAAGATGATAACATGATAGGTAAGGGGAGGCAGTCTTCAAATTTCAAACTGAAAAAAACCTTTGATTTTTTTTTTTATTTTTAAGAAAGATTTTATTTGCTAATTTGACAGGGTACAGTGACAGAGAAAGAGCCAACAAACAGAAATCTTTCATTTACTGGTTCATTCCCCGGATGGTCATAATAGCTAGGACTGGGCCAGGCTGAAGCCAGACTGGAGCATAGAACTGTGCCCGGTCGCCCTTGTAGGTGCAGGGCCATTCTCTGCTGCTTTCGCAGGCCATAATCAGGGAGCTGGATTAGTAATCCAGGGATTATTAATCCATTAATCAGGGAGCATCCAGAACATGAACCTGTGCCCATATGGGATCCTGGCACTTGAAGGGGGAGAATTAGCCAATTGAGTCATTGTGCCAGGCCTGTAACTTTACATATGTATATAAATAAATTCTTTTTAAAATAAGGACTCTAAGGTGCTACCTGTTGAATAGTCTGTGTTAACCCAGTACCCTCACAAGACTTTGTAGAGAATTCTTGACCACGCTTTACTAATCTTAGTATCAAAGCTGTTTGTCAAGGACTAGAAATCAGAGACTGCTACAGCTGCATGTGTAGGAAATTCAATCTCTTCTGGGTGAGGCCATCATCTTCCAGATTCAACACTTAGCATCCCAGTTCATGACTGTGGGCCATTCTTTATGAAGCTGGAAAGCTAGAATGTACCACCTCTTACTTATGGATCAATGGTCTTGGTGAGTATTCTCAGAAGATTTCTAATTCAGAGGCACTGTCAACCTGCAGGTACAGAATGAAGCAGACACACCCCTGAAGAAATTCTTGTTAAACCTGGCCATTACCAGTAAATTCAATGAAGTAAAAAAGGGAATTGTCAGGCGGGACAGTCTGTGGGACAAACTCATCTTCAGAAAGATTCAGGTAGATATTCTGACCACCTGCTCCTTTGCCTACTTTGCTTTTCCTCTCAGATGTAAGTTCCGCTTTTGCTGAAGGTCCTCATGGACTATCTGTGTCACTTGTCCTTTGAGATATTTTTGTATAACGTTGCCATTAAAAGGAACTGGTAAAAAGCATAACACAAATTTTATTTCAGTTCCAGCACTTTCTTACTCTGTTAAATGGCTTACTGAAATAAGCAATTGAATATGGCCCCAAATAGCAGTTACATGAAGAAATTAAAAACAGTGCAAGCTGTCGTCTCTGAGATGGATGCTGATGGCAGTCAGAATGCCAGCCCCTACTCCAAAAGTGTGTAATTAGTTTAATTCTCGTAACTTTACCAGGTAGACTGTGATGTCTAATCTTACAATGCAGGACACGGGAGTCAAGACAATAGCTTCTAGCAGCTCTTGTGTTTGTTTCTTCTGAGCAGGACAGCCTGGGCGGGAAGGTTCGCTTCATGATCACGGGAGCTGCCCCCATCTCCACTCCGGTCCTGACGTTCCTCCGGGCAGCAATGGGGTGTCCGGTGAGATCTCACTTTTGCACAGATAATGCTCACTATTTAAATAAAAATGAAGACACTACTGAAAAGTAACAAAGAATAAATCACCCCAAAATCTCAAAATTGTTTTTTTATGTGTTTTTCGTAGAGTAGTAATCTTGGCCACATGTTATATATTTTCTGTTCTCGTTTTCTTCTGCCTTACATCTTGCTATAGAAAGGTTTGAAGTGTTTATGTCAGACTGATTAATCTTTCCTGTTTGTGGTTTTCAGTAGCTCACATCCGACCTCCTTACTGCCAGGATTCCAGAAGAATGTTTTCTTCTCTACTTTCTGATGATCTTTGAGGCTTCATTTCTTATTTGTTTCATGATTGAGCCCCATCTGGAATTTGTGCAGGGCTTAGACCCGGATGGATGTTGTCTCATTTTTGTTCCAAATGGAATCTTCCATTTATTCAGTGAGTCATTCACAGCATGAGCAAAAACAAGGAGGCAGGCATAGGCTTATCCTCGCAGCAAATAGCTCCTATTCATAGAACTGCAATCAAATAGGATTCTGAATGGATGCCAGAGACCTGCAGTCTTTCCAGTTAGCATCCTCTTAGCCAATCTTTTTTTTTTTTAAGATTTTAATTTTTTTTAAAGATTTATTTATTTTTATTACAAAGTCAGATATACATAGAAGAGGAGAGACAGAGAGGAAGATCTTCCGTCCAATGATTCACTCCCCAAGTGAACGCAATGGCTGGTGCTGTGCCGATCTGAAGCCAGGAACCAGGGACCTCCTCCAGGTCTCCCATACGGGTACAGGGTCCCAAGGCTTTGCACCATGCTCAACTGCTTTCCCAGGCCACAAGCAGGGAGCTGGATGGGAAGCAGGGATGCTGGGAATAGAAACGGCAGTCATATGGGATCCTGGCACGTACAAGGAGAGGACTTTAGCTGCTAGGCTAATGTGCTGGGCCCAGCGATTCTTAATATTACCCTTTCCCTGAGCTCCTAAAACCAGCAGAAAGTCCCACTCCCAGAATCCTTTTAGAAACATCTTCCGTAAGCCTTCCTCTATTTCTACCTACTCTGCCTATCACAGGCCACACCACAAATGCCATAGCTTATGAACTTTGTTTCCTGAAACCAGCATCTCTCCAGTCAAGACTGTTTTCTGTACTGGGAGGTGGCAAACTGCAGCACAATCCAAATCTGGCCCACCACCTTATTTTTATAAATAAAATTGTGTTGAAACATAGCCATGTCATTCCTTTATACATGGACTATGGTTGGTTTGTGTGACTTCAGCAATTTCTTGAAACACAGACTTGATGGTTTACAAAGCTGAAAAATTTTAAGTACTTTTCTTGGGGGACAAGGAGCAGTGGAGTTGAGGGGACTTGCTATCCCCTGAAGTGGAGTTACTTTCCTTTGAAAATGCTGCTCCATTCTTGAGTGGTGTTCCACTGCCTATCTTCAAGTCTGATCACCACTGGCTTGCACATTGCATAACACATAATCTAGTTTCTCAGTTCCTTGAAATGGCACATTTTAAATGTGAATTTCTATACTGTGGTCTGTTGTATTCGAGTGAACTCCCACTTGTAAAGACTCAGCAAATTCAGCATAAATTCAAGGTTTTAAAACTCTGAGTGGCATCCAAACTTTAGTAACCTTGCTTTCCTTGCATCTCGGCCCTAGGGCACAGCCAGCTCACACTTTAAGTACATCTCAAAACTCTTTGGATTTGCAGGTGTATGAAGCTTATGGGCAAACAGAATGCACAGCTGGCTGTACAGTCACAACTAGTATGGACTGGACATCAGGTAGGTCTCCCATCTGTTGGACAAGGGGTGCAGTGGTTGGGAGGACCCTATCTGAACCAGGAATTCTGAGTTTAGATAACCTCATTGCTTTGCACTGATGGGGCCAAATGCCCAGCTTATTTTCAGTCTTATTCTTCTAGCATTGATTCATAAATATCCCAGAAATATACCTGGAATGATCACTGTTTTATGTGTTTTCCCACTGACTTGGTGTGGTGTATTCTAGGCCATGTAGGAGCCCCAGTCACTTGCAACTATGTCAAGTTAGAAGATGTGGCTGATATGAACTATTTCTCAGCTAACAATGAAGGAGAGGTAAGTCAGTCATGCCTTGGTAGTTGGATAGTCACGGTGGGATATTCAGATGAACATATTGTGAGCATCCTTGGGTTTCCCTCCTTTGAGATATTTAGCAAGGGTTCACCCATCTCTTGAGGTTTTCCTGTCCCTCACCCTCACCACTGCTCACACTGTGGTAGAAGCCATCAAATGACTGAAGCCAGGAGCTGGCATTGTATCAAATGCATACACAGAGTAGCAGATGTTGTTATCATCACTAACTTGTACTGTCTGGTGTGCAGATCTGCATCAAGGGTAACAATGTGTTCCAAGGATACCTAAAGGACCCTGAGAAAACAAAGGAAGTGCTAGACAGTGATGGCTGGCTTCACACTGGAGACATTGGGCGCTGGCTCCCTGTGAGTATTTTGTCATAACTCCTGGGAATCTATGCTGTGGGATTGGGGGAAAACAATGAGCTTACAGCACAAGGGGCAGAGAAGCATGTAGGTAAAGTAACCTAGACAGCTGGAGAGCAGCAGATCTGTGTCCTATCTGGCTATGACCTCCTCCTCAGATAGAGAACATAACAATCAAGAGAACCTCACGTTGGAGTTGGGAGATCTGTGTTGTAGTCACAGCTCTTCATGAAGCAACTGTTTACACTTCACTTCAAATCATTAATGAAAAATCACATATTAAGAAAAGGCTATGTAAGTGGCACTGTGACTCAGTGAGTTAAGCCAGCATTTGCAATGCTGGCATTCCATGTTGGGGATGTGGTTTAAGTTCTGGCTGCTCTGCTTCAGATACAACTCCCTGCTGATGTACCTTGGGAAGTACTTGACTATACTTGGGTCACTGCTACTCTTATGGGAAACCTGGATGGAACTCTGGGCTTGGGCTTCAGTCTAGCCCAACCCACCCATTACAGCCATTTAGGAAATGAACCAACAGCTTAAAGCTTTATCACTTTCTCTGTCTCCCTCTGCCTCTCCCTATATCTGCCTTTCAAATAAAGTTAAAAAAAAAAAAGTATGCAGTGATTCCAAATGTTTTTGCACAAACATAAACATCTCTTAGATTTTTTTCAATAAGGCCGTTGAAATACCCTTGGAAAGTTCTGACAAAGTAAATTAATGTGTGTTTAGGAACTGCCAAAGCTAAACACATCTTTCTCTGGGTCAGAGGATACTTTCAGCACTGTGGCTGCAATCGGTAAAACCTAGACAAAGATCAGCTGAAATATTCTCATTCTTTATCAAATACAAGTACAAAATCAGTGGCACTGGTAGTGTTCCAAATTGAAGACAGGATTCTTTAACAGGTCAGAATGACAGTCCTGGGCCTCAGAGCTGGTGTCACTCCCTTAGAGTGGAACAGACTGACTCATAGCCAAGGTGATGTCTCCAGCAAGGGGCAGAGAAGGTATAGCGTTCCATTCCTTTTCTTTTATAGAGGCAGGAACTGTGACTTCATAACTTCATGAGTCCAAAACATGTGTCTTTTAAGAGTTTCAAAGGAAAATGCTTCTTTCCAGTTAACTCAGAGAGGTATTTCCAGAAAGAGGCAGGATTTCTAAGTCAAGCAGAAGCTAATGTTTGCTCCTCAGTGACTTTCACATCCCTCTGTGGAAGATAGCAGCTGTTGCTGATGGTTAGCGGTGACAAGCAGTTGCTGTGGATCCCATTTGTTTTCCCAAGAGACATGGTGGTGCGGTCACATTGGAGCTTTAGAGTCCCTAAAGAAGTTTCAGAGGGTGTTTCTTGAAAGTTTTGTCTACTATGTGCTGGGGAAATTGGGATAGAACTTGATCCTGAAAATCCTTTCTCAGTGTTCAAGATTCAAAGTAGATTCAAAGAATTGTTAACCATGAGGTTTTCAAGAACACTGAACCTCATGACATATACTGTGTGTACCTTAACAATCAGGATGCCTTCTGAGAAATGTATAATCAGACAATTTCATCATTATGAAAGCATTGCAAAGTGTCATTACTCAAACTAAAATGCCCAGGAAGTCCACTGGTGAAACAATTTTATGGAAATGCCACGGTAACTTTAGTTTTTGACCAAAATCTCATTGTGGGGAACGGAAATGATTGCATGCATTTTATAAATTTGGGTTTAGTTGTATCTTGATAATACATATTTTTGCTTAATCAGTGTGTTGTTCTAATAAGCCTAGGATGTAGGTAATAGCCATATCCCCTCACTGGGTTACTAATGACATTCAGATAAGGAAGGCTGCATAGGTGCCTAATCATCAGGTAGCCTTGTTGATGAGTTCATGGTTGGTCCAGTTTCTTGCTCCATTTAGGCTGTAATCATGTGGACTTGATTTGCTACCCGCCCCAATTCCAGAATTTAAATCCCTAAGAACTTAAGCTTCTCAGACCAATTAGCCCAGAACCGGGAAGCTGCAAGTGACCTGGATGGCTGGTCAGACTGCTCTCACCAGCCCTGCTTCTGTCCTAACAAGCCCAATTACTGACTTGCCTGATTAATACAGCTGAGCTGTTTTAGTTTGCTCCAGGTTCTAACAGGAGGGGAACATAACGAGCAAGTGAAGGAGGTAGAGTGTTATTTAATCCTAAAGTTTTAGTAATAGAGATGACTCCTTCCTGAATCCTGAGTGTTTTAGCAGATAAGAGTAAACGTTGAGTATCCCTTTATCAGAAATGCTTGGGACTAAGTAAGCTTCAGATTTCACAGATTTTTGGAATATTCACATAGATATGCCAGCTGGGTGTCTTTAATCCAAAAAATCTGAAACATTCTGCATTTTGGATCTCACATTTTCTGATGAGGGATGCTCAGCTGGTAATTGCAAATTAAGTTATTAGAAATTGAGAAGTGCAACATTTATTCATTAGATGAGACATTTCTTCATATGCACACCCTTGCAGACCCCAAGGACTCTGTTAGTGGTTGCATCTTGGCTTTCCATCTGGACAGGCAGTACAGATAAGTTCTTGCTGGAAGTCACTTCCCTTATCCCCAAAAGAGAAAGATGACTTAAAAATCTTTGGAGCAATCAGCTCTAAAGAAGGAAGAGACTGTCTTAGTATTCTCCCTGCTAACACCATCCCTAGGGCTCAAAAATACTGATGACTTTATGTGATTTATACAGAATGGAACGCTGAAGATCATTGACCGTAAAAAGAACATTTTCAAGTTGGCCCAAGGAGAATACATTGCTCCAGAGAAGATTGAAAACATCTATATCAGGAGTAGAGTGGTGTCACAAATTTTTGTACATGGGGACAGCTTACAGGTAACATACCATTTTAACAAAAACCGTCTTCAACTTCATGCTGGCTCCTATGGCTACAGGAAATTTGTATAGGTGGGTTCAAGGTGAGATAATCCAAGCTTGGACAATTCAAGAAATGGAGCCACATTCCAAACCTCAAATAAGACAATAAAAAAAAGACTATTTGAAAACTCTAGGAGACTTTAAACAAGTCAACAGAATAGTTAAAATAGTTACACCAGTTAAAACAAAAACTCCACACTGCACTTAGTTTCCATTCCAGCACAAACTCCTCTGGCACAACGCATTGTTTTATGTATAAAGTACTTAAACTTAGCTTTTGGCAGCACAGGGATTGGGAAGGGAGGAGTGGCTGTGTTGTCAAAAATGAACAAGGCAGAAGTGCTTAATGGCTGATGCAGAACATCACCTTTTTGAACACAGTGGGATGGAACATCTGTGTAATAAGATGTTGGGTAGGGAAGATGGCATATGTGATACATGGTGAGGAAAAAGTGTGTCACTAGTACTGAATTTCAGACTTGGGGGAACTAGCAGTGCTAGAATCCTGACATCTTTAGCCACAGGGGGACATCCCTGGGCTAGTTCTCATGTGCCCTTGCATCTTTGTTCCTTTCTTTAGTCATCCTTAGTAGGAGTGGTGGTTCCTGACCCAGACACACTGCCCTCATTTGCAGCCAAGCTTGGAGTTAAGGGCTCCCTTGAAGAATTGTGCCAAAACCAAGTAAGTCTGGCTTAGAAAAGTTTCATGTACTATAATGGGGAATGGGATGTCCTATCAGATGGGGCTTGCTGAATTCTCAGAACTACTACGTTGGAGGAATGTGTTCTGCACCTGAAACAAGTGGCTGGAACCAAAACAGGCTGAAGCATTTAATTAGAATGTATAGAATGGGGAGTTTCAAAAACAGAGCAAAACTATTCTATAACATGTTCATTATGGGGAGAAAATGAGAAAGTAAGAGAATTATAAACTGCCATCCACAGAATATCAACTTACATTTAGCTATGCCCATTCCTCCCATTTTGTCTTTCATAAATATTAGGCATGTAATGAGAGTATATTTTTATATCCTGCTTTTACGTTCATTTTGTGTTGGTTCATGCTTATCCTGTCATTTAGACTCTGTTTAAACCAACCATGTTTTATACAACATTTTATTTCTTAGGCTATAATAGAAGCCATTTTAGAAGACTTGCAGAAAATTGGGAGAGAAAATGGTCTTAAATCCTTTGAACAGGTATGTGGTAATGGTCTTGGTACTATGACATTTTTTATTTAAAGTTCCATTTATAATGGGTTTACATACACAATATCCAAGAAGAGGATTTTAGATTTTATTTTTTTTCACTCCAAGTGGTACTTTCTATAATTACTTGCACATTTAATTTTTTACTCTTCATTTTCTATATTCTCTTCTCCCTACTCATTTATTTCCCAAATTATAAATGCATGGGAATGGGATGTTTCTGTTCTCTTTACTCTCCTACCATGGCAACTTCACTTTTAAGGAACTGGAGTTCTTCACATGGCACTCAGAGGGCTGTGTGGAACGTCCACATTACTGATCAACAACTGTGAGTGTGTGTTCCTTTTATTTTCCAGGTCAAAAAAATCTTCGTTCATCCAGAGCCATTTTCCATTGAAAATGGGCTCTTGACACCAACATTAAAAGCCAAGCGTGGAGAGCTTTCCAAATACTTTCGGAAGCAAATCGACAGTCTGTATGAGAATATCCAGGAGTAGGTTAAGGTACACGCAGGTGGAAGGGGCTTGATGTGGCCTGCCCATCCACTCGTGCTGTCTTGTGAGAATAGCTATTAAAAATGATTCCTGCATTTACTTTGTCTTTCTCCTATCTATTATAAACATGATTTTCTCAATATTACAAAATAGAATTTCTGTGCAGAAATAGGTGTAAAATAAATAAACATGTCCTTCCCATTTTAAATGCTGTTAAGAGTAAGGCTGTAGGATAATTTTTATCAATATGACTTCTTCCATGTTACTTTACAGTAACCTAACTTGCGACCACACAACAGCACTTATTTTGGTATTCCAATGTTCAAATTAAGAGATTCTTAAGTCCTAAAAAGCTGTGTGTAATTCTTGTCATATAGCTATTTTACAAAACCACTATTTTGAGTGAATTTTAACTCATATATCTATTACTGTGAGGCGAATTCCTTCTGTGTTCACTGAAGTCTCTATACAGAGAGAAAAGTTTAGCCATCGTGAACATTTCCTAAATTCTCTAGCTAGACCCCTGACTTGCAAATATTAAAAATGGGGCCTATGACAAGTTGTCCAAAAACAATGTTCTTACAGTGTGATCCACAGTAACAGCTGGTGACCCGATCTATTCCCTACAGTTTGCTGCTGAGCTGGAAGCTGTGTGGGAAGGAGCTGAAAATTACTGTCCAGTGAACTTTTCCAGTAAATGAAGCAAGCACTGAATACAAACCTGCTGTGCTGGGACTAAAGATCTGTGGACAGACCTGAGGTGCACACACCAGGCTTATCTTCTGTGAAGGAACCAACCGACCTTTGCCACCTGGACTACAGTTCCTACCGTACTTTACTCCTAGATAACACAGGTTGCTTCTACTTGTAAATGTAAACTCTTTAAAATAAACTATTGCAGATACTACATTGTGGTATTTGTTGTCTTGTGGACAAAGAAGAGAATCAGTCTTAAACGGTTACTTAAAAAATCAAGTAAACTAATGGTCCTCCAACTAGGCTGTACACTAGCATTACGTAGGAAGTTTAAAAAGATATCTGTGCCTGGGTACTGTCCAGGGATTCTGATTAAAATGGTTAGGGTTCTGCCTAGGCATCAGAATTGTTTAAAAAAAAATCCCAGATGATTCCAATGAAGCAGATTTGATAACTACTAAGGTAAAGGAAGTTGAGAGGACCAAGCCTTACCCCAGAGCTGTGAATAACTGGACAAATTCCAACAAACCATGACTCCGACAGGGCATCATCCATATCCTTTCCGCTTTTCTCATCCTTGTTGTACCCTTCCCGGCCTCTACCTGGAGTTAAGGAGGGTGATCTTGGTCTGTTTTTCTAGACTCAGCCCAGAAAAGCTCAAGAAATGTCTATTCTTGAGGATCTGAAACAAAAGGGAATGAGGCATTCACTGCAGAGCCCTCACTCTTATCTCAGCATCTCTGGACCCCTCCCATTCCTGCCTCCCTCCTTCCAGCTGACCCCTCACAGATGCCTTCCTGATCCCCAAACACAACAGCACCTTGCAACCTGTTAGCATTGTTGTTGTTGCCTTTTCTTTTCTTTTTTAACATTTATTTATTGGAAAGGCAGATGCACAGAGGAGGACAGAAAGATCTTCCATCCAATGGTTCACTCCCCACGCAGCTGCAACGGCTGGTGCTGGGCCAATCCGAAGCCAGGAGCCTGCTCTGGATCTCCCACATGGGCGCAGGGTTCCAAAGCCTTGGGCCATCCTCGACTGCCCTCCCAGGCCACAAGCAGGGAGCTGGATGGGAAGTGGAGCCGCTGGACTGCTGTTGCCTTTTCTTAAAAATGCGGGTGACTGCAGAGGCAGACAGCTCAAAGGCTACTTTCTTCCCTCCTAATCGATGACTCCATTTGTCTGTCTGCCTTCTCCCTCTCCTGTCGGGAACCGGGACAGAGTCCTGTTTCCTTCACTGCCAGTGCCCTTGTTATATCTGTAACTGTTACCAGCCTAGCCTGCAAAGCTTCAACAACTATACCTTGGACGAATTAACAAAGACCACATTAAGTTACTCAAATTTAGGAAAACAGGCTTTCTCTTTCCTTTTGCAACTCTATTATACATTTAAGCCTGATCTGAAGCGTTCAGGAGTACCAGTTTGAATCGACCACTTACACAGGCTTTTTGATAGACTCATGTGTATATAAGCAGTTTGATGTCATTAGTTAAGACTCATTATTTAAGATGTCACTATTTTTTTTTTTACAGGATACAGAACAATTTCCACTTACGGAACTAATATAGATCTTTTACCAACCAAAGAAATGCTTTGAGTAAAGACATATATATAGCTTTTACAGACTGTCCATTAATCTTTATTTGATTTGGCAAAATCTGCATTATTAAAAGACAAGTAACAAAATCTGAGCTTATATTGAATCTGACAGATTAAGATCTACAGCATCTAGACTATTGTTTAAGAAGTATCTCCTCAGAGGGGAAATAGCAGTGTCACCTGCAGGTGCTCCTGGCCAACAGGGAGCCCCAGTGGCAGGCGAGCTCCAGCGTGTGCAGTGCATCAAAATCCTCGAGAAAATGCGGATGTGACTGACTTGGTGACATGTTTTTCCCCCTTTTGGGGGAAGAAGAGGTGGTGACAAGGAGTAGGATTCTAAAAGGCATATGCAGAATGGCTTCTCCATTTCAAAATGGTAACAAAAATATTTAATCATGATACTAGGGCACCTTTGAGGAAAAGAAAACCCTCACCACGGTAGGCTCATTGCATAATTGTTGAGTAATTATGTACAATTTTCAAGTAATAAAGCGGCCTGAAAGAATAACTTCACTCCAGTAGATGGAGGCTATCTGGTTTTCTTCTCGCCCTCCGGGGCGGGATTGGCCTCTGCATCACAGGGACACTTCTCCACACAGTTTCTTGGGAACCAGCCTCTGATTCTTGAGACACCTGAGGAAGAAGATGAAACTATGATGGGGCGATGCACTTCAGGAACAGCATGGAGAGCAATACGCCCCGTGACGCCAAACTAAGTTCTCATGATACTGTTTTTCCCTTTTACTATCTGTTATAACCACAGCTGGAAGGGCAGGGGAAAACAGGTCTTTATGTTTTCCAAATAAGCTAGAAAACAAATTATTTACCAAATCCTATTCTCTGAAATGTGGCTTAAGACAGTTCCTAGCTGCGGACAGGGAAGTTTCATTTGTGTACGATCATGAAAAGTGTTTTGGTATATACTCTCCCACTCTGTGTTCCAGGAACTATATAATGGATTTCAAAATCTCATCGCACTAAAATAAATTTACCTTTTAATGCCACCTTCTGTAAGCTTTTAGGTGTGTCCTTGTACCCAGCTTTGAGTAGGTACAGAAGTGTGCTGAGCTCAGGAGCATGAATGAAGCACTTACACAAATGCCTGCCACACGGGTGGACGGGAGCTAAGTGTTAGCCTGCCTAATAAATGATGCTCACTCTTGCTGGCATGCTCTCTAGTTCCCTTCATGGATCTGTAACGTGATTACCTGTAGAACTTATTCCTATAAAATTTGGGATTACTGCTTTAAACATACCCTCTCATTTCCATACCTTCCACAATGGCATCATCAAGAATTTTGTCTCCATATAACCAGTATCTGAAATATTTAAAAATGTTACAATTAATTTTTGAAGGCTAGATGTCTATTCAACATTAAAGCAGAAGTGCAGTACTTCTCTCTCACCGTAAACCTCTTGTGGCCAAGATGAACTCCCCCTTTCGGAGCTGTATCCGAGGCTCTTCCGTGCAGGGGCTTGTGAAGAACGTTTTGATTCCTTTATTCAGGGGACAGCAGGCACCACTATAGTCATCTATTACTCTGTAGCGAACCTACCATCAGGGAGCAAAAGGGCAAATTGCATCTTTACACATACGAGCTTTCTTTGAAGTTTGAATTTAAATTTTCAAAAGTGTGACCAGTCTTCCCTCCCAGTTTCCCATCCATCCTCCAACCTCTCTCCCGAGAGCTAAGTGATGCTTCCAAGTCCCAGGTTCTCCCATCCCTCAGGACTTTCTTCTTCCATCTTCTTTTTTTTTTTTAATGCATTTATTTGAAAGCCAAAGCAACAGCTAGCAGCAGAGAGGGGAGAAAGAAACAGCCATCTTTCCTCTGGTAGTTTACTTTCCAAGTGGCTGCAACAGCCAAATGTGGGGCAGGCCAAAGCCAGGAGTCAGGATCTTCATCCTGGTCTTCCGCGGGGGAGGCAGGGAACAGAGTTCTGCACCATCTTCCTATTGCTTTCCTAGGTGTACTCACAGGAAGGTGGACTGGAAATGAGTAGCCAGGACACAAACGAGCACTCTGATACACGATGCTGGCATCTCAAGCGGCCGCTTACATCACTGCACCACAATGCTGGCCCCAGTCCCTCATTTTAACTACCGAAGTACCAAGAATGATTGTTTTTTTTAAAGATTTACTTTTTTGGGAAAGGCAGATTGACAGAGAAAGATCTTCTCTCTGCTGGTTCACTCCCCAAGTGGCTGCAAAGGCCAGGGCTAGGCTGATCTGAAGTCAGGAGCCAGGAACTTCCTGCAGGTTTCCCACATGGGTGCAGGTTCAAAGGCTTTGGCCCATCATCTGCTGCTTTCCTGGGCCACAAGCAGGGAGCTGGATGGGAAGTGGAACATTTGGACACAAACCGGCATACCCACGGATCCTGGTACATGCAAGGGGAGGATTTAGCCACTAGGCTATTGCACTGGGCCCAAGAATTAAATTCTTGACCAACACTATGTGAGAGGACTTTCTGCACTGCTGGACATGTCCTTTAAGTTCTCTGTCTCTGGTAGTCAATGGGGCAGCACATACAGTGACTGAGTACTTACAAAAGTGACCAGTGCAGATGAGGAACTGAATTTCTTGTTAATTTTAATTAATTTATACTTAAATAATCAAAATGTGGTTACTGGCCAACATATCCAATAATGTAATAAAAAGAATGCATTTAATCTCAATGAGCTATATTGGGGATAATTATTTTTCTTTGTTAGCAATTTAAACTGACAAAATTCCCTCCAAACCTAGTCTCAATCATTTAAATAAAAACAGAAGTGAATCATATAAAATTTCAACAAATATCCTAAGGACTATTATTTAATAAAAGCCATTAATCTGTTTTTATTCAAACAAATTTTGAAAAATCCTTCAAGGAAGGTATGAGGGAGATGGGAAGGGAGGGAGTGAGGGAGAAAGAGATTATTTGGTTCTTAGAATTGTATCTACAAACCACACTGAACCTATTAAAAACTAATTAAAAGTTTAAATAACTACTCAGAGGTATACAGCCCGATAGCCAACAAATCAGTATTATAGAAAAATTACTTACGCTTCTGACTCTCTTATCTGCTTTTTGTTTCAATTGTTCTATCTGTTTGGAAGACATAAAAGCAACAATTAAGTCTCGTGTCTCAGTGTTGAAAACATTTTATCCTCCCTACTCTCAGAGTGATACAAATAACTCCCAGCTTTCCACCATGTCACAGTTGCTGACAACTTAAAGGCCATAACCCTTTTAGGGGCTGAGAAGTGATTTTCTTTTCACTCTTTCCTTCTCAATTTCTTCATATCTGCCTATTCCAAGAGTACTCCCTGGGCCCAGGAACCAGGGAGATGGGCCTTCTGTCTCCAAGTGTTCAAGCTAATGTCTAAGGGACAGAGTCTGGGAGTCACTGATCCTTCTGTGCCAGAGCAAACAAATCGCTAACACTGACCAACAAAGTGTTCTGACTAAAAACAATCATTACAACTCACTTTTCACGCAGCTGGAAACTTCTCAATAGCACAATATTAGACATAGTAGGAGAAATACAGCATACAGTCTCTGTCTCAGAATCTTGACATTGGCTCAAAGATGTCAGGTTCAGGTACAGGAATGAGATTAGAAACTGAGACTATGAGCTACCACACAGTTGTACATGAGCAAGGTCAAGTCCAGAAGAGTGTAGAGTAGGTTGGTTAGACTTTAGGGAGGAGATGGGGTGGGCACTGCTCTTATATCCAGATAGACAGGTCACAGGGGATCGAGAAGAGTGTGGATAAAGTTGGGTGGCAGGAATATACAAGGAGTTCATGTAACACTGTAACTATGACAGTTCCGTTAGGCCAGATTTAATAAAGCTAAGTTAAAGAATTAGGACTTTAAGTCATAGCTTTGGTGCTAAGAAGAGATTTCAATACAGGAAAACATGACACAAGGTGCACTTCAGGATTATTACCTTGAATTCACTTGATACTCTAAGAAACATTCTTAGGATTTATCTCCCTATAAAATGTCACTGGAGTTCAAAGGAAGTAAGCGCAAGATGGGGAGGCAAAGAGGAGGAGATGCTGGAACAGAAATGCTCACCGTTAGGCTATAGGGGTGACAGCCTCTCCGTACGGGCCACTCGAGCCCATCTCCTTCAGGAAACCCAGTCCACGTAAACACCTGCTTGAAGTTCTTCCATTTATCTCCCAAATCATACGGAAAAACAAAATCTTCATCTAGCTGATAATACTGAATTCGATCTTTTGCCTGTAGGTAACAAAGACAAATGCCTCTTTTTATATGGCTTTTAGTAATGAACATTTATTCTTCAAATTTGTGTCATCCATAAAAACATGATTATTAGTGTGTGCAGACAGGATAGAAAACTTTACCAAAATATAGGAAGAACTTATCACAGCACACCAACCTTGTCTATGATGCCCAGAAAATAAATGAAAGAGTCTTTTAGGAATGAATATTCCAAAAGGTTAATTAGAATTAGCAGCACCAAAGAGCCCATGTGTGCAGCAGGGACAGTGTAAGCAGATTCGGGAGCAAGGCAGTGTTTACTGAGAATGGAAAGTTGTGCAGGATGTGCCACAACACAATCCAGTCACCACACCTGTGCCAGTGTCACCTGTGGGAATGGCCACAAAAGCTTTAGCAGGGGAGTCACTATTTTAGGAAAGACATTTCTCAAGAATTAAACCAACAGGAAAGGGGACACCTTTGGCCTAATAGTTAAAATAGCTCTTGGGTCCCCTGCATCCCTTATCAGACTTACTGGCTTCAAGCCCCATCTCCACTGCTAATTCTATCTTCATGCTGATGTGCACCCTTGGGAGGCAGCAGGGGATGGCTCAGGTAGCTGGGCTTCTTGCCACCATCGTAAGAGACCTGGGTGCTGGTTTTGACCTGGCCCACTCTAGTTGTGGGCAATGGGAGAGGAAATCAGTGGATTCACTCTTTCTTCCTGCCTCTCCAGTAAATTTAAAAATAAATAAATAGCACATATATACAGGAAATCTTTCATGTTCCATACATCATACATACACACATATACATATGCATACATACATATATCTACACACATCCATTTTATATATTTTTCATTTGGGTTGTATAAATCACATATTCCAGGAATTTAACTTGTTAGCCTGAACATAAACTGACTTTGGATTTCTTGTTGTTCTGCTGACACCTAGTGGCACAAAGACACATTATTTCAACAAGGGCATAAACCCTGTTAAAATTTGTTGCATATTAGTGTATAGTAATTTCTACACATTTCGTATGGTCACTTATTTTAATTTTCCACTCAATAAGAAAGGGCCAGTTTTAAAGTAACTTCCAGATTTAGTCTGGCACTTTCTGAAGAACCTTGGTCACTAGCAAAAGAAAAAGCTTAATCTAATGTCAATAGTATTCATTACATTTACTAGAAATCCTTACCAAGATTCAGTATTTTACGGAAAAGCTTGTTGCAATAATTACTTTGGATAGAGACCAAGGCTACACACAAAGAAAAACTGGGCAGGAAGAAGAGCATATTTGTTCTAAACTGACCAAGAAGTCTGCCCAGGAGGAACATCCAGGAAACCCAGCATCCTATCAACAATACATGACAGGAAATGGAGCCCTCAGCCAAGCTCAGAGTCAGAGCAGCTTCCAGGGTCAAAATGACATGTAACCTTCAGTCCTGACGGCCAAGAAATCAGGCAAAAGAGAGAGAGGAGTGTTCCAGGCAGCGAAAACAATATACAAAGCAGCCAAACAACAAGACACAACAGGCACCAGGTGTGGGAGAGGCTGGGGGTGGGGCATGCAGACCCAGGAAGTTACAGGAAGTCTCCCTATATATAAGCTGAGCAACTTGGACTTAAACCTGTCAATCTAGGATTATCAAACTATGTTTTGTAGATCCCTGCGGGTCTCCAAGACCGCTTCTTGTGGTCCAAAAAGGTCACAGTGTTCTCAAATAATACTAAGATGCTACTTGCCTTTCACTGTGTTGAAATTTGCGATGGTGGGTAAAGTTGCTGGCACCTTAGCAGCAGAGTTACAGTTTAAAAAACAACTCCATCAAAAAATGTCCTGGATGAAGCAGTAAAAATGATTATTTTTATTAAATCTCAATTCTCAGGTAGATACTCTTAATATTCTGTGTGACAAAATGAGAAGTAGACAGAAAGCAGGCCCAAGTAGAGTGAGTTTCTTCAGAAAACCCCTCCCTGAGTCATGAGTTAGCAAAGGTTATATGGCTAAAGCCAGGTTTTTTGTTTTCCCCCTCTTCATATAATACTATTTATGCATGGAAGAATGAGTGATAAAATAAAGAAATTAAGATTATTGAGACTTCAGCATTTAACAAGTATTTCCCCAAAAATGAATACAGTAAGATTCTCCCTTCAAGGGAAAAACTGTTGGTGGAAAAAAATTAGGGCCTTTGAGTTAAAATTAGAAAATTAGAAAACTTGACAGCTTTTCAATATTTAAAGATGTTTTTCTCATAAAATTGACAGTGATAATGATATGGACTAGGTGAGATTTTTGGATATTGCAAAGTGAAAAGTATAAACGTTGGCAAAGTCTGCATGTTTCAGCAGCAAATCATTGTTTTGCACATAAACAATGTTTTAGAAAAAAGTAAGTCTTGATAAAAGATCAATTCACAGAACAAGACAGGTTTTCAGATAAAACAGTGTAAAAGGCTTACTGATAAGAAATATCTTGTGAAGTTTTAGCGTAGAGTTAAAGACTATCCACCATCATCTCAAAGTCCTACAAAAATCCTCCACTCTTTCCCAGCTACTCCTCTGTGAGGCCGAGTTTTCTTTGTAACTCCAATCAAAGCCACGTAGCTCAAAAGACTGAATGCAGGAGTAGACGTGAAAATTCAACTGTCTTCTGCTAGGTCAGATACTAAAGAGATTTGTAAAAGTATGAAACAGTGCCATTGCTTTATTTCTTAATTTGAAAAGTAATTATTTTTCATTACAATACTACTACCATATAGTAGGTAAAAGTCAGAGAACTGCTGCTGTAAAACAGAGGTGTCCACGGGCTGCAGGTGTCTAAACATTGTGTATTATCTATATATATTTTATTTAGCTCATAAGGTTTTTTTATTTGAATTGCTTATTAACATTTAAAAACTAAGAGGAGACCACACAGATATCTAGATTCCTAACATGGAAAAAAAAAATCAAAGGAATTTACAATACTAGGCGACTGTTCCCTCCTTGGCAACAATCGGCATGTCTTTCACATGCAAGCTGGCTTTCTTCAGGCTGCCTGCTTGGTCCCTGCAGGTGTTGGGGTTTGGAGCCCTATAATAAAGCCACAGTGAGACTCTGAGTAGACTGCAGTCAGGTAGAGAGATTGTCTTTGGCACTACAATCATGGCGGACAGTGCGACATGTGTATGGGAGATGCGAGTTCAGAGGCAGGCTAAATGTAGTAAGCTTCATCTAATATCTAAAGCATGAAGAAACATCTGGCGGCACTGGGTAGGAGGAAAGCGCTTTTTGAACGGGCTACCTCTCCTCTGATCTCAGAAAAGGGCCGACACTTGGCCACATGCACCCAGCAGCTCAGGGCGTGTGAGAAGTTGTCTGGGACGAGGTTAAAGCAGGGATCCAGCAAGCGTCTCCCGTATTCCCTCTTACACATCACACAGACAACTTCACCAAGGATGCTAGTTAGCTAGTACTTCAATACTGAGGAAACAATGATTAAAATTTACCTTCTCTTCAATCCATGACTCAATAGAAGTTTTGTTTCTGAGAATTATTTTCATCTGGAAATTAAATGATAGAGAAAGTTTACTCTTTTGACTGTGAGGTGGCTGATGTGACAGGGTAAAATCACATAGACAGTCCATGGCCCATGTGACTGTATCATTATTGTCTCTAAATGATTACACCAACACAATCCAATCTGAATAGGATCTTAGTAAAAATTCATGTTTTTAGTATTATCTTCAGAACAAGACTTTCAGAGCATAAATAACGCGTCAATATAATGCATTGAACCTGCACTTCAGGGGGCTTTGCTGTTATTGTCTTTTTCTCTATACCTAATTAGCCTGAAATCTATGATCTATGTATTTATGACAAGTAACACTGATTTATTTCGGTCAACTTAGAGCACTCAATCACCTGAATGTATCAGGGTATATTTCTCACTTTTCCCCTGGATATAACTGTTTCTTCCTGCATAGGTTTTGATGTTGTAAGATCTTAGTTTATTCTGACTGATTCTCAATTATAAGCAAGCCATGGGGAAATTTTTCAAAAAGAATTTGGTCCCAGGAAGGTAGTAAATATAAAGTAGAAGCCAGACTTGTTTATTTTAAAACCAAGAATTAAAAAAAAGAATTGAGGGGAGGGAGGAAACAGATACAGTCATTCTACTTTTGTTAAGAGTTCTGAACTTCCTTGAAGTCTGGTTTTGCCCTCCCGGACAATGTGGCACAGGAAAACGAGCCTAGGACTTCTCACAACATTCCAAGGGCCTAGCAGAATACTTGCTCCGGCAGAGACCTTCAATGAATGAATAAATAAATGTACTATTAATTTTGAGTTCCCTAAAGACAAGAACTTCTTCATTGCCATTTCTGCAGCTCCAGAGTCACAGAGGATGGTGCTGGTATGGTGCACAGCGGGCCAAGGTGCTGCTTGGCACACTGGCATCCCATGTTGCAGTGTCAGCTTTAAGTCCTGCCTGTGCCACCTCCAATCTGGCTTCCTGTGAGTGCATCCCAGGAGGCAACAAATGATGGCCCAAGTGCTTCGGCCCCTGGCATCCATGGGAGACCTACCACTCTACACATTAGCTTCTGTCGATGCAAATAAAAAAGTGCATGTAAATTCAAAAAAAAAAAAAAAAAAAAAAGAAAGAAATTAGCAGAGTAGCTCATCACAGAGTAGACAACAACTGGCATCTAAATCAGAGTTGTTATAATTAAGTGACCTATTACTACATAAGTATAAAGACTCTAAAATAGTAACTTTTATAAGTAAGTGCCCCATAAAAATAGCTATTTTATATTGACTTGCTGCTAAACACATTCTATCCTAGAAGAATAGTAATCATGATGTTTACTGAATGCACAAACGAGTGACTTTGTAAAACAAGTAAACTACTAACCTGTCTCAGAGCCAACTGTGAGGAAGGAAAAACGGTAATATCCCTCTGTCAGTCTCTTCTGGGGTTGATGCGAACATCCAGACAGACTGAACATGTGGGGAGTGCATTCAACTATAAAGTGACACATAACTCTAAGTTCCCTATTTTAAAAAAGTCGATCCACGACCTAGAAATTCTAGCAGAATAACTCCAAGAGAAGGTCAAATTAACTAGATGAAATAAACAAAAACGACTCCAATTTCATACTGCATACCTACGCACAGGGTTTCAATCTTTCCCACTGCAATCAGCCCAATAATTTGACAACTATTAGGTAAAGGCAACCAAGTGACTTACCTGGATAAAAAACAACATTCCAACCGCTATAGTTGTTCCCAGAGCTAGTCCCAAGGCAAACAAAGTGGCAGCAAATGCAGCTAATCCGAAGGGGACAAGTGGAAGAGGATCTCTCCGGGCTGCACTCATGTCAATCCTCACTGTGTTCCACCCAAAGGAGAGCTGCAAACAACAAACACGCATGGAACGCTCGGCCGTGGGAACTGGGCAGACTCTGCCTTCCACCCACAACTACACGATCCGCACGAAGCTAGCCCGACGCTGTGGCCAAAGCAGATAAAGCAAACAGCTATAACTAACGAACAACGAGCGCTAGGGAAATTCTTACTGTTCCCAAATGATGCAGAGCTCAACAGTGTGCTGCAACAAAACCAGACACCAATCTAAATTGTGCTTACCGCCCTCCTGTTAGTCTGTATTTATCATGATTTTCCACAGCAATGAAAATACAGTCTAGGATTCAGCTGCCCCTTCCCTCATACTGCACAAGTTATGGTTAAGAATTGGTAAAATAGGTGCTGGTGCTGTGGTACGGTGAGCAAAACTGCTGCCTGTGATGCTGGCATCCCTTATGGGTACCATCTTGTGCCCGGGGGCTCCATCCCTGATCCAGGATGCCCGTCAATGGCCTGGGAGAGGCAGCAGAAGACAGATCATGTGTCTGCACCCGTGGGACCCACGTGGAAAACTCAGATGAAGTTCCTGGCTTTCGCAGCCATTTGAGGAGTGAACCAGAAAATGGAAAATCTCTTTCTCTCTCTAACTCATTCAAAATAAATAAATGAATCTTACAAAAATAAAAAAAAAAAAAAAAAGAACTGGCAAAACACAAAAGTCAAGGGCAGGCATCTGGCACAGTGGTGAAACTGCTGCTTGAAGCATTCACGTGGCACAGACAGTGCTTGGCTGGGATTCCAGCTCCTTGTCTTCGAATCCAGCTTCCTGCAACGTGCACCCTTGGGGGCGGTAGATGGGTCAAGTTCCTGAGAGACGGGCTGAGTTCCTGGCTCCATCTGGGCCTGGCCCAGCCCTGGCTGCCATCATGGGCAATCAGGGAGTGAACCAACAGATGAAAGATCTCTCTGTCTGCTTCTCTGCTCTGTCCGAGCTAAATCATGGAGAGCAGACGAGGGGTACTTCATAAAATTGTGGGACATGGAAAGAAAAGACATGTTTATCCTAGTGCAAAAAAATCTTGAAATCCATACATATAGGGGAACTTTAAAAATTTAGAATAATTTTCTTTTATGGAAAATGTGTACCAAGAACAAACTATGTATGGGTTTCAATTTTTTAAAAAAGCAAAATGAAACTTATAATTTACCCTTTGTGTGAACTTTTTTTTTCTTTTAAAGATTTATTTTTATTGGAAAGGCAGATTTACAGAAAGAAGGAGAGACAGAGATAAAGATCTTCCATCTGCTGGTTCACTCCCCAAGTGGCTGCAAAGGCCACAGCTGAGCTGATCCAAAGCCAGGAGCCAGGAGCTTCTTCCAGATCTCCCATGTGGGTGCAAGGTCTTGAGGCTTTGGGCTATCCTTTACTGCTTTCCCAGGCCACAAGCAGGGAACTGGATGGGAAGTGGAACATTTGGACACGAACTGGCACCCACAAGGGATCTTGGCACATGCAAGGCAAGTATTTAGCCACTACACTACCACGCCGGATCCCTGTGACCTTTTGAAGTACTCTTGCATTTCCAAAAGAATCCTCTTTAGTCTTGTTCACTAATACTTAACTTGGCATGAATGATTTTCACTTACCCGATTATAAAGCTGTGTGTACATGGTCATAACAAAAATGAAAGCAGCATGGATACAACCCAGTGGTGCTAACAGGAGAAACAGTGTGAAGGAAGCATGATTTTGGTAACCACAACAGTTGTTGATCCAAGGACAGTGATGATCCATCTTCATGACACATCTGACAAGAAAGAGCAACATAAAAACATAAGATGGACAAGCCTATCTGGCATAAAGAACTCTGCTCGGGCCCGGAGGCATGGCCTAGCAGCTAAAGTCCTCGCCTTGAATGCGCAGAGATCCCATATGAGTGCCGGTTCTAAACCCGGCAGCTCCACTTCCCATCCAACTCACTGATTGTGGCCTGGGAAAGCAGTCAAGGACGGCCCAAAGCCTTGGGAACCTGCACCCGTGTGGGATACCCTGAAGAAGTTCCTGGCTCCTGGCTTCGGATCAGCATAGCATCAGCCGTTGTGCTCACTTGGGGAGTGAATCATCGGACGGAAGATCTTCCTCTCTGTCTCTCCTCCTCTCTGTGTATCTGTATATCTGACTTTCCAATGAATAAATAAACCTTTAAAAAAAAAAAAAAAAGAACTCTGCTCTTCAAAGATCAAGCAAGTGGGAATCCAGCACATCTGTGGGTCCTGGGGCAGCTCCACATCACGGAACAGAAAGAAAATTAGCAGCTTTTAAGTAATTATTACAGGGACTCTTTTTACATTCTCAAAAGCCCACAAGCAAGGGCAGGTTTTGCAACGGCTTCTGGGAAAAGGACAACAGCTCCGAGTGAGTTTGTGTGAAGTCAGGAGGCCCCCAGCATGGTTCCTGCTTTTCTGTTTGTTTAGAATCACAGTGACTCAAGTGGAGTACAAGGATGACTCAACAAGATCACAGACCAGTCTTCACTGGGGTTGACAGGCCCAGACACTCGTAATTTCCTTCCTTCCTGCTTTCACAGTTTCTTTTAGGTGCAGGATGTCTAAGCAAGCTAACTTCGCGATAAGCAAAGCATGCTTTCCATTCCTTATTGTTGCTTCAAGAAAATTTCCTGGTCTCAAGCTAAACTTTGTCTCTAAATTTCTTACTGATCAGTTAATGTAGCCATTCATCAGGAAAAATCCTGGCTTACTTCACATTTCTGGGGGAAGTCAGTTTTCTTCCCATTGAGTTGTGTTTTTTTTTTTTTTTTCATTAGAACGCTTGTGAAAACAGACATCTGCATTTGCCATTACATTTATATAAAATGTTAAAAATCACAGGAAAACCAAGCCTCTTTTATGATTCAGACTCGGGGCAATCCTAAGTGGATAGCTGACACACAATCCTGATACAGTGTATGGAAGTAAATTAGAGTGACAATGTTTTGCCTTACTCTGTGGGACATGGGGGAAAGCAAATCTATAGTTTTCTACAGAAACCTTCTCATTTACAACCCCCAAAACGAAATCTAACATCCAGACAATTTAAATGCAATACTTCAAACACAGATCATAGAAACATAAGTAACTTGACTGTTTTCTGATGAAGTGGCCAACTTCCAGTGAATGAAAGTACAACCAGTGTTAAGGAAGAACAATGAAACGGCAGGCCAGAAATCAAGTTGCTCAGCCCAGTGAACAGAAAAGACAAGTTACCTGTTGCACTTGCGGCAGTGATGGGAACGTGGTGCCTTGTACGCCTGGCAGACTTTACAATACTGGAGGTACATGGTGTCCTGAGAACTCTCCTTAGTAACAAAACAGAAAGAAATGACATCGGTTAACTGAAACCAAGGAGGAAGTCAGGCTTTATGAATAAAAGTGATCCCATGGAAGGAATTTTAACTTCGGTTTCCATTCCTTTTACTTGAATTAAAATATTTTTAAAGAACCAATTTCTGGAGACAGCACCATCACTCTCCCAAATGCCCAGAAGAGACTTTGGATTTGCCCATTTTCCAACTCAAACCCAGGGTCATTAGTTGGTTCTATTTACCTAAATCTTAAGATGGGGAGCAGTTTAGAAGCAGACGGCTGACAACCTGGTGGGACTCGGTGGAGATTGGCATACAAGGGAGTACTCTCCCTGTGGCTGCCCCTTCCTGAAACTACCAAAGTCCCTTCGCCTCCCCTGGGCCATCTGAACAACTTCCTTACTCATTTCCTTTCCTGAGATTTCTCTCATTCAAACCGTGTATTGTCAGACCTCCACTTAAACTCCTAGACACAACTCTGCTTGGAAATCTCTTAAAATTCCCCACTGTCTAACAGTTTCTCAAATATTTAGGTGCTTCCTCTGTACGGCATAATTGCCTTTCCCGTCACACAAGGAAGTCCGAATTCTGAACATGTGCCCCCACCGTTCTCTCAAGCTCTTCCTCATCCCCTGTGGAAACTGCCACTCCTCCCACGGGCTCCCAGCTGAACAGGCTCAGTGCTTCCAACTTCAGGAGCACTCATCAGATCCTACAGTAGGATAAGGTTCATCATGTGGCCACATGCACTGTGCTATATAACCAACTTCCGGACAAAGTGTCTCGTCCATTTCTGTGCTCATTTCAAATAGTATCCCGCACCTCCCACCCCACCCACCCAACAGCAGACATTGTGTTTCTCAAATTTTAACATGCTAAGAATTGCATGGGGCTTTTCTTAAGCTGAAGATTCTGATTTCAACATAGTAGGTCTGCACACCTGCATTCCTAACAAGCTACCTACTGATGTCCCCCAGCAAGGAACAGAACCGGTCTTCAGCATGATCTAACCATTTTGAAAGAAGTCATAAGTGAATCCATACTATGCTGCCTGATGTTATAACTTCACTGCAGTGATTTTAAAACTTTATGGCTCATGATGTATGATTTAAAATCAACTGTTTTCTCATCACTGAGAGATGTCATTACATGAAACAAGACCCTAGAACTCAAACACGGAAATTACAACCCAGGCGGCAGAGTATGCAGTGCGTCCCTACACTCAGGACCAGGGACCCGGCCACCTCCTTCCAGTTAAAAGAAAAAAAGACAAGTTATGTAACGGAATTATCTTGGAGTATGCCGATTTAGATCAGTATGACCAGCACAGGCAGTAAATGTCTGAGGGCACACCATCAATGATTTGAGTCATAAACTTAGTCTCTTGTGTTTGATGTTACCATTTAGCAGATAAGAGAAACACTAAATACATCATTCTCACTCGAGTTCAACATAAGAAGAAGGAATAATCATCTTACCGGTTTCCAGCCCAGAGGGACAAAGCCAGGACCAACAAACATGGCATTGAAGTAATTATAAAGAATCATGACAGTCCAATTGATCAACATGATAAAATTCACGCTTCCTCCCGTGGTATGTAAGGGCCAATACCACAGCACAGAGTCGATCATGGCCATGGCAGAGCAGATCGCTATAACCCCGAGGGCGATGACGGGGCCCCAGTGACACAGTCTCTTCAATTCTTGGAGATTTTCAAACTTGATGACCGAGCAGAATGTGCCCATTTTGGCAGGGAGGAAAGCTTTCCTACTTCTAAGGAATGACTGATTTCCTTTTTCTGGGCACACATTTCCATGTGCCCCGAGTCCACGTGTGCTCCTTAGCTGTCATGCCTTCACGCTCTGGGAGCGCAGAGTAGATCGCGCCATCTTCTCCGCTAAGAACTCCGACTTTTTTATCCTAAGAAGAATCCAGGATCTCACTTGAAAACCCAACATAAAGGGAGCAAAACATGACAGTTCAGTTTAAAAACCATATTTGTTAACAGCCGAGCATAAACCATTTTCCAAATGTACCACTAAGGGAACCTTGTCAAATGTAAAAGCAAATAATAAATCAAAGTAAATTCACTGTATCTAAAATGTAGCTCAAGACAGAATGGTCTGTAAACTGAATACACATTTTGAAAACAGTTTTTCTTATCCCTCTGTTTTCAATTTGCCAGGAGACTGTGTTCAATGTTTAGTGAGTACTTTGAGAAGACAAAGAATTCCAGAGCTGACAAATAAAGCTGAACGAATCCAGCGTCCTTCGTCAAGGGGGCAGATACTGTTTTTCCAAAGCCCAAATGATGGAAACAAGACAGAGGGAGGGTCCGAGCAGATCTGAGAGATAAGGAAGCCCGCGACCAAGAGCTGCCGCGGGCAGGTCCTTCCAACGGGCTCGGAGGGGGCCTGGGTTCCAGCGGTTCCTCAGCGACAGAGGCCGCTGCCCGGAGCTTCAGGCCCGCTCGCTCTGTGGAGAGACTCGGTCTCAAGGCTCTGTGGCCAGCGGCGCCCCCCACGTGGGGACCCAGAGCGAGCCGGCCACGGACAGGATCCCCGCCTCGACTCCCCACCTCCGTCCGGTCCTGGGTGCCCGCTCCACAGCCATCGCCTTTCCGGGGCGACCTGGGCTCACCAGGAACGGATTTCCTCCTTCTCCTCGAGTAATTCCGTCATGGACACCTCAATCCAGGGCAAACCGAGAGCAAAACCGCATCCGCCGCGGCTGGGGCGGACGACCTCCCGCAACCCGCGCCTCTGGGCCGGCGCCCTGGCCGCTGCTCTCCCGCTCAGGCCCTCGCGCAGGCTCCGTCCCCGCCACTTCCGGAAGCTTCCCCGCCTCAACCTTCCCTCAGGAAGCAGGGCCCTGGGACCTGCTGCTGGGGCCGCCGGGGAGCCTTTGGAAGCCAGAGACGTGCTGTGAGCGATCCCCAGGAACGCACCACTTTTCGTAAGCCTTCCTGAGGGGTGTCCACTAGGCCGCGTTTCCCACGTGTCCTTTTAGGTTTCCAAGGCTGAGCGGAAAATAAAAGCCGCCCACAGCCCAATTTTCGGGGGGGACCGAAATCGCGACGGACAACCAGGAAGCGACGGGGCTGGGAGCTGTATCCCCTGGTTTTCGGCTCTGCTCTCGAGCGCGCCCCGGGGGTGTCGGTGCGCCGCAGCTCTGCGCCTCGCGGGGGTCCCCGACCCCGACCCAGCCTCCACCAGGGCCAGCCGCTCAGGAGCCAGCATGTCATCCGACTTCGAGGGCTACGAGCAGGACTTCGCCGTGCTCACTGCGGAGATCACCAACAAGATTGCCAGGGTCCCCCGACTGCCTCCCGGTGAGAGCGGGGGGCGGGAGGGGGTCCCTGGGGCGCTGGCGGGGCTGGGAGGCGCGTGGAGGCTTTGTGGGTGGCCCTGGCAGCCACCCCCCGCACCCACCCAAGGGTGGGGCTTGGCTGGAATTTGAGGGGAGCAGCGAAATCCAGTCTTTCCAGTAGCAACTCTGTGGATTCGAATCCTGACCGCGCCCCCCTTGGAACTTGTAGTGGGGGCGTTTCTTCTTCGTCGGTGCATCCCAGAGATGCAGGTGTCCACCTGAGACAATCGCGTAAAGCTCCTGAAGTTGGGCACGTGCAGGGCGTGCCTGCGTTGTCGCCTTCGCGAGACTGACAGGATGAGATCTCTGAGTCGCGTGCAGTGCAAGGTGCCTAGGTTCAGACCCCACGCTGCCACCCAGAAGCTGTGTTTCCGGAAAGTGTCTTGACCCGTCTTCGGCCTTCCTTCGTGGTCCGACGGGGCGAACTGCACCTCTCCCAGGCTTGCTGTGGATGGAGACAGAACGCTGCCACGCGAGGGAGGCCCTTCGCTGTGTGTCAGCTGCTTTTTGCATTCGTGTTTTTTTTTGTTTTGTTTTGTTTTCCACTCCGTTTCTTATTTGTCATCCTTCTTGTAGAACTTCCGCGCGAAACAGAATTTTTTTTCTCCCTGGTAAAATGACGCATCTTCCACCTTTTGCTTCTTTCTTGGTTCAGTGCGAGTCAGTCAGCTCTGTGAACGTGGGAGCGGGGTCTCGTTTCCGTGGTATTTACTTACTAGAGATGCTCAAGAGTTGAAGTGGATAAACAGAATGACAGATATTTTTGACTTTCGCTTGTAAAGTGTTCTTCAGGATTCCTCTTCAGTATAGGTTTACTTTGGGAAGTTCAATACTTACTAGATACGCAGCTTTGGTTTCGTTTCCTTAGGGAACTTGAAGCAGTCTTGGGCTGTTGCAGGTGTGGCTGCCTTCGTTCCTGGGTGGCAATTATAAAGGAGTCGTTGCTTATTCCTCTATGGGCTGGGGAGTAACTACACCTTCCCATCCTGCCAGATCAAGTCTGTGGTACCAACAGGGACAACATGAGTTGTCGTTCCTTTTCCCTTTCCCCACTTCCCTCCCAACTTAAATATTTTTCAATAATTTTCTTCCTTTATTTCTTTGTTCCCCCTTCCCCCCTATTTTTCTGTTAATAGGGATCATTGCTTGAACCCAGGACCTCTGCATTTGCACCCCACTCACCTCCCGAAGTCCCAGTTAGTTCTGGAGAAGGTGGCTGATGTCTTAAAGAGGTTTATGAGTCCAGCTAAGGGGCCGAGAGGAGAGAAGCAAGTGGCGGGTGCGGCCAGGCTGTTCTGCCTCAGAGACGTGTGGACAAGGTGGCCGGAGGCCTCAGTGGACAAGGTGGTCGGAGGCCTCAGCGCTTGGTGATGCGTTGCTCTGCCTCTTCTCTTCAGTTCTGCTTTTCTCTGCTGTTCAAGACCTTTCTGCACAGCCCAGGATCTGAATTTGTGCTGTTGTTGTTGGGTTGTTGGAGTCTGCTGCCTTGGAATTGAGTCCAGAACTTCAGACTGTCAGGATTTGTGGTTTCAGCTGACTTTTTATTCCATTTAAAATGTCATCATTTTAGCAATAGAAACGTTTCTTTGTTCAGGCTGGTAACTTTTGTATCAACAAGCTGTTTCATCAAGTAATAAAGGCTTCGCTGGATGCTAAGTTGGAAACTGTGTCGAAGACAAGATTTTGTTACTGTTAAGCTTTTCCTGGCTTTATGTTTTCATGTGACAATTCTTACAACACAGAAGGAAACATTTGAATTAAAATTCCTTAAAAAGAAAGCTCTGCCTCGCCTTAAGACCCAAGTTGTTAATACCGTCCTTAGCCAACTGAATTGCTTACATTGGGAAAAGGTTATCTGACTCAAATAATTGAAAGATAATAATGATATCAAGATGAAATAATAGGGAAAGGCAAAAAGTATATCCTTGTAGCTAAGAATTTCTGGTGCTTCTCTGTAGAATGAGAGAAAAATAATATGCACAACCTTGACAAAAACAATGTGATTACAAGTTCCTATAGCCACATTCTCTCCAGGCACCGTTAGCCCTTGTGGTGCTTGTCCAAACTTGCTCGAGAAATGGTGAACCGTAATGTGCCTGAATTAGGGAGGTTAAAAGTTGGATAAAACTTTTGAGCCAAAATAATTCATTTCTTCCAGTATATTAATTGATTTAAATTGCTGCATGATGGGTAAGATCAGCTAAAATGCTTACTTTTCTTCTGTGCATGTATGATGTCTTAGTGTTTTTTCCAAAGAGAATAGGAAAATCTGAACGCTTAAAAGTTTTATTTTACAAAGAGAGTGATTTCTTTGTTATTAAATAAAATAAAAAACTGTTCCTAAAGTGCTTGAATCGTAACAAATTGTAGTCCTTGGGCTGTTGAGATGGATAAGACCCTAACTAATATGTTGCTAGTGCCGTATTTGAAAATTTGTTTTACTGATTTTTTTTTTTCTGTGGGAAACTTGAAATGTTCATAAGCAGAAGCCAGAATTAATACCTGATTATTAATTCTGTTTCTTGTGATGGGGTTGCATTCCTAAGCGAGAGGAGCTTTTCACAGGTGATGTTCAGATACATTAGGCAAGCTTCCCTGTCAGGGGTCTCCACCCAAATTACTCTGCTGTTTCACCCTACAGAGAGAAAATAGTCTAATGTGCATCATGCTTCTTGGTGATTATAGTTGAAAATGTGCCGAGAGATCACAGGGAAGCGGCTAAGACGCAGGCCCACTCTCAAAGCTGTTGAGAATCCCAGTTCTACTGTTTACTACATGTGTGATCCAGGCAGAGTGCTAGACCTCCATCCGTGAAATGGGGTGAAGACCAATAGTTTGAACCTTACGATGTGGTGAAAGTCCAGTGTCACTAAGGTGAGTCACATGGGCGCAGCTCTTGTGCAGAGAAAGTGTGGTTGGCTAGCTCCTGTGTTACTGTTGCTGCTGCTAGTGCTGGCCACAACCTAGCCTTCAGGCTGCTAACGCCTTTTGGACTATAGAAGGAATCTGAGGCATGAGGTCTTGCTTCCTTTTTGTTGCTAGAATTGGGTGAAGTTTTCTTGATCACCCACATTTGGAGGGAGATAAGTGATAAAGGACTTTGGGATATAAAGTCGGAATTGGACTTTGAGCTCAGAGACAGTCAAGGAATGACTCGATAATGAAAATGGTGAGGGCAAGATAGGGGTTCTTTCTGGAAGGAAATGCTTGATTGTTAGTGCGCGACAAGCCCTGAAGATTGAGGGGACTGGCCAGCCATGGCCGGGGATGGGGAAGCCATGAGTGTGATTCCATGATTATGTCTTAGCATTGCAAATTTGTTGTAGTGAGAGAATTCACAAGAGATTGCTTTTATTTGTGAATCTTGTGGTTTGCTCTAGAGCTGTAATATCTACAGTCAGCTGCTGAGCACTTGAAATGTGGTTATGGCCATAGGGAAATATTTCTGATATATTCCATTAAAAACTTATCAACATTAAAATGTCATTAGAAATAACCTCATTCGCTTGCTTTTGTAACTAGACTCCCAGGAACTTTGATATTGCATATACGACTTATGTTGCTTATTCCTGTAGGTCTGGAAAGTTGGATCTGAAGGTGTAATTCTGGTTGTAATCCTGGGGTTTGCTCTGAATTAGGAAGCAGTCTACGTCACGTCAGTGTAAGAGCTGCTAGGCAAGATCCAAGTTTTCCAGTTGAGCACGTGGAAAAAACAGCTGATAACAGTGACCCAGTTACATCTCATAAAAAATTAAGCATTTATGGAGTTCTATTCATGTTTACACATGAATGTGTTTGCATACCCACACATACGTGTGTGTGTGTCTGTACCTGGGTGTTGTTTGAGGACTGTCTTTGGTAGCATAGATAAAGAGCTTCCTGCTGAGTAATAACAGCTGTTAGTGAACAGGGAAGGAGCCGTTCAAAGGGGAGTCGTCGTGCTGGCTGGATGATCCCTCAGATTTGTCACCTTTTAAATCTTTCCTGATGTGAGCTGAGCTGTAGGGAGTGCATCAGAGGTGTCTCGGTGACATGATTATGAAAGTGCCACCAGGAAACAAATTCTGTGAGAAAATGACCTCCCAATTTGCAGGCTTTTCAGAAACAGCAACTTATCATTTCAAGTAACAGGATTTATTTGTCCTCATTGGCATCAGTTTTACTTTTTTTTTTTTTGTGGAGTTTGAAGTGTGGTTCTTTTATTCAGTAAGTGCTTACTTAGTAAGTCTACCATGTTCAGCTCTCTTTGCTAAATGTGTGCCTGAGACAAAGAAGTGTCGGGGTACTTATCTTCAGGGAGTGGAGATGAGGCCAAAGGGGGAATGGCAGTCGACTCGCTTCTGTTTGTGTTTGGGCCGCTGCAGCAGAGCAAGACGCTCCAGGAATTCAGGGGAGAGCAGACGGAAGCTCAGAAGACTACCTGAAAGG